CTGTATCGCCGAACTGACCCAGAAGCACATTCAGCTTCTTCTCCATGTCCCCTAGGGGGCTCCGTAAATATGAGAGCATATACACATATATATATATAGTATATATCCTATACATCTTTGAGTGATTAATACAAAATAACTACCTGTTTATTTGATTTACTTTGAAAGCCTAGAACTTCTGTATAATATCCCTAAACATGTGACTTACTGCAGTTGAACATTGCCTTAATTGAACACTGCCTTGTGCAGACATCCCTGCTCAGATGTGCCACCTGAGGGAGATGGCTGCTGCAGAGGCAGCGAGAACCAGATGTTTCTGAATGATGCGGACATTAAGACACATCTGTGCTTTTAGATTTGCATCGTTTCAGCTGCAGTGGTTCATCTTGGCGTACGCACCTGTCGGCCACCAGAGAAACGCACCTTGCCTCTTTTTAATTACCGTATTATAAAATCAAAGTTCAGATGATAAGGTTTAATAAAGTGTGTTAATGTTTGACCTGAGGTGCTCCAGCTCGTTGGTTCCAGAGTTCAGAGGAGCTCATCATATTTCAGCTGGAGATGAACACACAGAGATAGACTGTATGTGAATCAACAGAGCTGTGGAGACCTGCTGGGAGTTACATGTTAGTTCTGTCTCTGCTTGGAGCGACTGATTCATTTCACCGTCACTCATCAGCAGATTCTCTTCAGAAGGTAAGAGCAGCTTTCATCATGTGTGTGTCAGCAGTTAGACTGAGAACAGTAGAGGTGCTGCTGTACTCATGTGTTGTGTTCACTGCATCGCTGGAACAAAACTCACAGGAAACAACAACAGTTTGGATGAAGCTGAGACTCATCCTGTTGGTACGTCACACTGAGAGCAGAACATAGACACAGAGATGAGATCAATACTACAGAGCTAAGGGACATGTGGACTTTAGTTCAGAGAACTCAGGGTAAGCGAATTGTGCCTCCTATGTTCAAGGTTAACATTGAAAGTGATGATATGTCCCAATGCGTCTCAATGTACATGTTACTCCAGCTGCATATCAGTTTACTCCACTCAAATGGCGCAACACTCCCGTTCCATGGACAGACGTGTAAAACACTCAAATTCCAATAGATGGAGCTCTAGACTAATTTATAAAATTTGTAAAAATGTTGTTAAGTCTGAAAAACACGCTATTATGGATGATAAATAGGTTAATATGGTAAACAAGGGCGCACAACCCCCAAACTTCGTGTGTGTGTTCCAACAGGTACAAAGTGTAAATATACCAAGTTTGATGGACCTGTGATGTCTGTAAATATTTGAATTAAAACAGTTTAATCGAGTTTGAGCACTAGTATACCCATGTTTTTAACACTTTAGCGGGGTAACCATGTTATCTTTTCACCCTGGGTGTGTGATACAAGTGAAACCACACTTAAAACCTCCGGAATTAAAACAGTTTAATCGAGTTTGAGCACTAATATACCCATGATTCAGACACTTTAGCGGGGTAAACATGTTATCTTTTCTGCTGCCTGCATTTAAACAGATTCACCAGTTTATAACATTACTTTAGCCCTGATCAGAGCCATGTTTTCTGGGTAACACAGCGAGGTGCTGTACCCTGGGTCTCTGGGTCTCTGGGTCTCTGGGTCTCTGAGACCCTGCTAACAGCAGTGACTCTGCTGTTTTTAGCTTCTTGTACATTTAACAACATAAATATGATTGATATGTACATTGTTCTGTCTATACTGACAGGTTTATGTCCATAACTCCGTATGTTTATGTCGTCCAATGTACACGGTCTAAAAACGACTATTGTGACTGAATTAAAAGAGTTTGACAGTATTTTAACACTCATGTAGCCATGTTTGCAGCCCTGTTCACAGGGTAAGAAGTGAATTACCCTCTCCTGTTGAATTAAAACATTTCCCACGACTCTGACCACTAATGTACCCATGATTGAGATACTTATTCCTGGGTAAATATGTTATCTTTTCACCCTGGGTGTGTGATACAAGTGAAGCCACACTTAAAACCTCCTGAATTAAAACATTTCCCACGACTTTAAACACTAATGTACCCATGTTTTGCACACTTATTCCTGGCTAAATATGTTATCTTTTCACCCTAGGTGTGTGTATTTCTGCCTGTGAGTGTGATATCCTGCTTAAAGCAGTGATTCTGCTGTTTTTAGTTTCTTGTACATTTAACAAAATAAATATGATTAATATGTACATTGTTCTGTCTATACTGACACGTTTATGTCCATAACTCCGTATGTTTATGTCGTCCAATGTACACTGTCTAAAAACGACAATAATGAGTGAATTAAAACATTTTGGCCGCTCATAGGCGGCCTGCCATGCGCACCTTGAGTCCCCGGGCCCCCTGACTTAAGCACACTGCCTTGGACAAAACCCCATGTGCATAACTGCCAGACAAGCGTGCCCTTGGTAACCTAAAAATATGAAAAGTGTCTGAGTGTCAGGAGTCCGCAGTTGGAATCTTAAGGGCGGACGGTAGACCACCACAAAATCCACCCCCTTGTTAGTCTTACCAGGGGCACGAGGTTCTGGAGGGTGTGAATATCTGGGTTTAGTCCATGGGGGAGTGCTTAACTGCGGGGGCCCGGGGACTCATGGTGTGCAAGGTTATGGAGGAGTGCCACTTTTAGGGACTCATGCTGGAGGTCTCTAGTCCGTCCTTTGGGGGTCTGTGAGCCGCCACATAGAGGTGATTTCCCCGGTCTCTCTCCTGGAAGTGTGAAATAAACAGAGTGCCACTGTTAGGGACTCATGCTGGAGGTCTCTAGTCCGTCCTTTGGCTCTCTGAGACCCTGCTAACAGCAGTGACTCTGCTGCCTGCATTTAAACAGATTCACCAGTTTATAACATTACTTTAGCCCTGATCAGAGCGCTGTTTTCTGGGTAAGACAGCGAGGTGCTGTACCCTGGGTCTCTGGGTCTATGGGTCTTTGAGACCCTGCTAACAGCAGTGACTCTGCTGCCTGCATTTAAACAGATTCACCAGTTTAAGACTGCATGGCAATATGCATTGTAGTTCTGGCACATGTTCAGATTCTGCTATTTCTGCTGAAATAGCACATTGTGAACTACCAGTTTTCATTAAATGACTCTGTCTCCTGAATTAAAACATTTCCCACGACTTTGACCACTAATGTACCCATGATTCAGACACTTATTCCTGGGTTAATATGTTATCTTTTCCCCCTGGGGGTGTGTGGCACCATCTGGTGGAACATTTGTGAATTACACTAAAATCCAAAACTTTAATGTTTTTTATCTTAGCGAAATAATGGTTTAATGACCCCAATGTAATGATCATTTATGATTCTGCAGACGTTGTCTACACGTGTATCACAACGGCTTATTTTTAGAGCGAATTAGAAAACTCGGTTATTAAGGTTTTTTTTTGTCAATATGAGATGCACTGTTTTCATGTCGCATGTACATATCTGTACATATGGCCACACGCACTACTAATGGAGGGTTAGACTAGTTCAGATGACTTCAGGGTTAGACTAGTTCAGATGACTTTAGGGTTAGACTAGTTCAGATGACTTTAGGGTTAGACTAGTTCAGATGACTTTAGGGTTAGACTAGTTCAGATGACTTTAGGGTTAGACTAGTTCAGATGACTTTAGGGTTAGACTAGTTCAGATGACTTTAAGGTTAGACTAGTTCAGATGACTTTAGGGTTAGACTAGTTCAGATGACTTTAGGGTTAGACTAGTTCAGATGACTTTAGGGTTAGACTAGTTCAGATGACTTTAGGGTTAGACTAGTTCAGATGACTTTAGGGTTAGACTAGTTCAGATGACTTTAAGGTTAGACTAGTTCAGATGACTTTAGGGTTAGACTAGTTCAGATGACTTTAGGGTTAGACTAGTTCAGATGACTTTAGGGTTAGACTAGTTCAGATGACTTTAGGGTTAGACTAGTTCAGATGACTTTAGGGTTAGACTAGTTCAGATGACTTTAGAGTTAGACTAGTTCAGATGACTTTAAGGTTAGACTAGTTCAGATGACTTTAGGGTTAGACTAGTTCAGATGACTTTAGGGTTAGACTAGTTCAGATGACTTTAAGGTTAGACTAGTTCAGATGACTTTAGGGTTAGACTAGTTCAGATGACTTTAGGGTTAGACTAGTTCAGATGACTTTAGAGTTAGACTAGTTCAGATGACTTTAAGGTTAGACTAGTTCAGATGACTTTAGGGTTAGACTAGTTCAGATGACTTTAGAGTTAGACTAGTTCAGATGACTTTAAGGTTAGACTAGTTCAGATGACTTTAGGGTTAGACTAGTTCAGATGACTTTAGGGTTAGACTAGTTCAGATGACTTTAGGGTTAGACTAGTTCAGATGACTTTAGGGTTATCCTGTACATCACCACCGTGGAACAAACAGAGCACAGATAGATGAACTCTGCTAACAAACAGTTTCTCAAAGGTTGGGTTTATTATTCTGTCTCTCTGCATCAGTCACAGCAGAAGATATTTCTTCTCATTTACAGGAATTGTGTGTTGTTAGTTTTATTGTTAGAGGTTTTGTTGCAGTACCAAGGGTCGGCCCGTTCAGTCTCTTTGAAACCTGCTTACAGCTCAGTTAGTGGGGGGTCAGAGTCTGAATCTGTCTACAGACGGCCTGTTACTGATTAACAGCTGATAAAAACGACTTCACTATCATAAAGTAAGACGTCTCAGAATTATGATATTCTGTCATTTTAGGATCAGGAGACCATGTTACCTGTGGAAGGTATTGGGGTGATGGGGTGGCTCGGTCTGTAGGGACTTGGCCTGGGAAGTGAAGGGTCGCGAGAGAGTGGACTGGTATCTGGAGAGGTGGAGTTCACCTCCTGGGCCGACAGAGGGGAAATGTAATTGTCTGCATGTTGTTTATTCAGATTGACTTTACACTCAGTTATTATTCTTGCACAATCTGATGAATATATAATGTTAATAATGTGCAAGGCGCCATCTCAGTCACAGCTATATACAGCTTGGTATATCCGTTAGCGTAGCTAGCTAACCAGGCCAGACAACGCCACTGGGGAAAAACTGAAGAACCTTCAGGGAGAGCAACAGAGTATCCCTCTCAGGATGGATAGGTGTTGTTTAGGGGTCAACACACTGGGTTTCTGTGTGGTTCTGGGGCTGTGGGGAACATTCTGGGCTGATCAGGTCCTGTTGAGGCTCCAACAAGGTTCCTGAATATCTGAGAGGAGGGGAACTACCTGTGATGTAAAGCTTGTGGTAATGAATGAGCATGTTGTTGTGTTTGTGTGAAGGTGGGGGCTCTGCTATGGATCAGAGTGAGGACAGAGAGGAGGAAGCCCCCCCCTCTAAAGGCTCTGGGGAACATGACAGCCAGACCAAAGCTCAGAGGTGAGATCTCCACCTGTCCATGACTCTTCTCCATGTCACAGCTCAGCACTCGTTACTCACTCAAAGCTCTGTGTGTTGTGTTCCAGCCCAGAGCAAACACCACATCCTGCTGGACCTGGACCTGAACCTGGACCTGGACCTGGACCTGGACCTGGACCTGGACCTGGACCGGGACCTGGACCTGGACCTGGACCTGGACCTGGACCTGGACCTGGACCTGGACCTGGACCTGGACCTGGACCCAGCTGTGTGTCCATGAAGAGTGACAATTCTATGCCCATACATATACACTTTAAAGATGGAGACCCATCTGATCAAAAGTAATGATTAACCATATTTTGTTATCAGTATGAAAACATCTGACCATAAATGCCATTTTCAGTGTTCTTCATTTATCAGTGTTTGTGATCTATCAGGATCCAACATGAGGAACCTGGACCTGGACCTGGACCCAGCTGTGTGTCCATGAAGAGTGACAGGTCTATGCCCAGACCTATACACTTCAAAGATGGATCCCCCTCTGCTGATCCAAGGTAAAAGTGTTGTCTTATTGTGCAATGGGTACAGGGGTGAAGTGCTATGTGAAGGACCATGTTTTAAGAGTGGGTAAGATCTCATCTCCTCTAGGGCAGGCATCCTCAAAGTTCCGGACCAAACCACAACTGTCTCTGGACTCTGAGCAAATTATACTTTTCATATGTATTATCTGTATTATCTGTGTTATCTGCGAGACATCGCCACAACGCCACGAGTCAAAATTCTCAGCTATGTCCGCTGCATACAGCGCTCTGCATGTACGACTGTTCCACTGTCTGTGTGTGTCTGTCAACGCTTTGGTCCAATCACATTCAGCATCCCGTCAGCGTTTTTTCCCCCACCAACAGTCTGCGAATCAGAGGCACAGTAGGGCGGGTCTTCGCGGAATGCGGGTGGGAAAAATGCGTGTGTCGTCTCTTTCAACCGGTCTGAGTCAGAGCGAGAGTTTACAGCTCATCTAGTTGCATCTGTACTGTAGCTAGTAGCCTAGTTTCACCTACCGGGGTGGCATGGGGTGGCAACTGCCACCCTAAAAATAGGCCTTGCCACCCCAGCTGCCACCCCAGCTGACAGCTTTGTTTTGAAAGAAAAGTTGTGGCTCATCTGACATTTATGAGAGAAAGTCTCTAATGTCCGAGTGCAAGTGAATGCAGCACAAGATGCACGTCTTGTAACCCCTCCCCCGTCCCTGGCGCGAGCGTGGAAATATGATTGGCGGCGATTTCATTTGAACGGGACGGCGCAAAACGAGAAGCATTCGGACCCAAGTACTGAAGGAATGAGGTGCGGTCTCCAATGACAGAGAAGAGACTGTCAGTGTGTCTGGACTCAGCATTGAATCAAAACGCACTAAAGCTGTTGATCTTAATCAGTTTGAGGCGTGTTGCTGAACAACATGGTGATCGCTGCATTCAGCTGTAATAGACTCGTCAACTTGATGCTCTGCTCACGGATGAGCATACACAACCGTTAAGATGATGACCTTACGTGTGTAAATATATTTTTTTCTTTGTGGGGGTCTGCCCCAAAAAACAGTTTTAAGTCCTGAGAAAGTCAAATAAGACGGTGTGTAAAACTACACTGCCCAGACAACAGAAAGTAACCACTTTGATTGAACTAGGCCAGTAGGTAAGGACTCTCCACTGGATAATAACTGAAGTATAAAAGAATGCATGACTGAAGTGATGGAGACCATGTTTGAAGGCAAATAAAAAGAGGAAATAACAGGTCAAATCAAGCAAAGCCCCCTCTCAGATTCCACAGCAACCAGAAGAACATAAATACTGGCTGGTGATTTGATGAATCAGCTTTGTGATGGAATACAAAATGCACAGTGCATTTCCTTAGCTGTGGATGAGTCCACTGACACCACTGACAATGCTCAGTTGCTGGTGTGTGTGAGTTTTGATGATGAGGCAAAGGGGGAGTTTGTTGAAGATGTGTTGGGCCTGACGAACCTCAGTGGACACACAAGGGGGCAAGACATTTATAAAGCAATAATGGGAATGCTGAATGAAAGAGGGTGCAGCTGCCTTTATTCATAACTGTGCAGCTCTTACACTGCGACTCTGAGGGATCAAGCACAGACACAAGAACAATGAAAACTGCTGCATACAGAGACTTTTTGTTTTTGCAACCTCGTGTTAAGAATCTTGTTGCAATTGTTTAAAAGTTTGAATGACCGTAATAAACGGACCTTTGTCTGATTGAAAAAATTGTTTTGGACCTTTAAGATTTGTATTTGAGTACCCCTGCTCTAGGGGGTTTAAGTTAAATGCATCAATCTTTGAGGGCAAAATGTATTTAACTAGTCACTCCCCTTTTCAACTGTATTTTTGTTTGACTGTTCCATAGAATGATTTCATACCTGTTTTTCATTCATACAGAGTCCTTTACCTCACTGAGCTGTAGCTATCATAGCCTCTCAGTCTGAGCTGTAGTTATCTGAGCTGTAGTTATCTCTCTCAGTCTGAGCTGTAGCTATCATAGCCTCTCAGTCTGAGCTGTAGTTATCATAGCCTCTCAGTCTGAGCTGTAGTTATCAGAGCCTCTCAGTCTGAGCTGTAGTTATCAGAGCCTCTCAGTCTGAGCTGTAGTTATCAGAGCCTCTCAGTCTGAGCTGTAGTTATCAGAGCCTCTCAGTCTGAGCTGTAGTTATCAGAGCCTCTCAGTCTGAGCTGTAGTTATCAGAGCCTCTCAGTCTGAGCTGTAGTTATCAGAGCCTCTCAGTCTGAGCTGTAGTTATCAGAGCCTCTCAGTCTGAGCTGTAGTTATCTCTCTCAGTCTGAGCTGTAGTTATCAGAGCCTCTCAGTCTGAGCTGTAGTTATCAGAGTCTCTCAGTCTGAGCTGTAGTTATCAGAGTCTCTCAGTCTGAGCTGTAGTTATCTCTCTCAGTCTGAGCTGTAGTTATCAGCCTCTCAGTCTGAGCTGTAGTTATCAGAGCCTCTCAGTCTGAGCTGTAGTTATCAGAGTCTCTCAGTCTGAGCTGTAGTTATCAGAGTCTCTCAGTCTGAGCTGTAGTTATCAGAGTCTCTCAGTCTGAGCTGTAGTTATCAGAGCCTCTCAGTCTGAGCTGTAGTTATCTCTCTCAGTCTGAGCTGTAGTTGTCAGCCTCTCAGTCTGAGCTGTAGTTATCTCTCTCAGTCTGAGCTGTAGTTATCAGAGCCTCTCAAACTGAGCTGTAGTTATCAGAGCCTCTCAAACTGAGCTGTAGTTATCCTGTCAGAGCCTCTCAGTCTGACAGGAGAGGATTCTCCCTCCACCTTGTACAAAAAGCTTCTTATATCCGTTAGCGCAGCTAGCTAACCAGATGCTAACAACAACAATCCCCCGAGGTTCCTGAGCGCACTCCTGAATGGGTGTGAAGTCTGAATCAGGCACTTCAACAGTCTGTGTGTGTGTGTGTGTGTGTGTGTGTGTGTGTGTGTGTGTGTGTGTCTTTTACAGAGTCTATCAGCAGAGCTTGTCCTGAGATCAGATTACCCAGAATGCTTAGAGAGTCAGAGGGAGGATGAGGAGGTGTTGGAGGCTGAGGATGAAGAGCAGAGGAGCAGCAGCAGAGAGGCCCTTCTGAACATCTCACTGCACCTCCTGAGGAGCATGAAGCAGGAGGAGCTGGCTGACCGCCTGCAGAGCAGTAAGAGGACTCAACACATGTACCATGATGGAGAGAGTCTGTGTGTCAGATCTTTTCCAAATACATTTGATTTATGGTTTCTTCTGTGCAAACACACTATCCTGTTGTGCTGGAGATGTTTTGTAAGATAAAAAGACCATCTTGATATAACTTAACTGCTTTAGAAAGAAACCAACTCACATCTGCTCGTGGCTTTCATGTTGGCAGTTGAGCTGATTCTCCGCTCGGCCTGTCAGAGCTTTATTTAAATTTTTTTGATTGTTTGTTGTTTCAGAAATTGCTGCTGCTGTGTGTCAGCGTAAACTTAAATCCACCCTGAAGGAGAGGTTCCTGTGTGTGTTTGAGGGCATTGCTAAAGCAGGAAGCCCAACCCTTCTGAACCAGATCTACACAGAGCTCTACATCACAGAGGGGGGGGGGGGGGGGGGGGCTGCAGAGGTCAATGCTGAACATGAGGTCAGACAGATTGAAACAGCATCCAGGAAACCAGACAGACCAGAAACAACCATCAGACAAGAAGACCTCTTTAAAGCCTCACCTGGAAGAGATGCACCAATCAGAGCAGTGATGACAAAGGGCGTGGCTGGCATTGGGAAAACAGTCTTAACACAGAAGTTCACTCTGGACTGGGCTGAAGGCAAAGCCCACCAGGACATCCAGTTCATATTTCCATTCACCTTCAGAGAGCTGAATGTGGTGAGAGAGAACAAGTACAGCTTGGTGGAACTTGTTCATCACTTCTTCTCTGAAACCAGAGACGCAGGAATCTGCAGGTTTGATCAGTTCCCGGTTGTGTTCATCTTTGACGGTCTGGATGAGTGTCGACTTCCTCTGGACTTCCACAACACTGAGATCCTGACTGATGTCACAGAGTCCACCTCAGTGGATGTGCTGCTGACGAACCTCATCAGGGGGAAGCTGGTTCCCTCTGCTCGCCTCTGGATAACCACACGACCTGCAGCAGCCAATCAGATCCCTCCTGAGTGTGTGGACATGGTGACAGAGGTCCGAGGGTTCACTGACCCACAGAAGGAGGAGTACTTCAGGAAGAGGTTCAGAGATCAGGAGCAGGCCGTCACCATCATCTCCCACATCAAGACCTCACGAAGCCTCCACATCATGTGCCACATCCCAGTCTTCTGCTGGATCTCTGCTTCAGTTCTGGAGGAGGTGTTGAAAACCAGTGAAGGAAGAAATCTGCCCAAGACCCTGACTGAGATGTACATCCACTTCCTGGTGGTTCAGTCCAAAGTGAACATCAAGTATGATGGAGGAGCTGAGACAGATCCACACTGGAGTCCAGAGAGCAGGATGAAGATGATGGAGTTTCTGGGAAAACTGTCTTTTGAGCAGCTGCAGAAAGGCAAACTGATCTTCTATGAGTCCGACCTGACAGAGTGTGGCATCGATATCAGAGCAGCCTCAGTGTACTCAGGAGTGTTCACACAGGTCTTTAGAGAGGAGAGAGGAACGTACAAGAACACAGTGTTCTGCTTCGTCCATCTGAGCGTTCAGGAGTTTCTGGCTGCTCTTCATGTCCATCTGACCTTCATCAACTCTGGAGTCAACCTGCTGTCAGAAAACCAACAACCTTAAAATCTTCAGATCAAAACCCAAACCTAAACTAACAGATCTCTACCAGAGTGCTGTGGACCAGGCCTTACAGAGTCCAAACGGACATCTGGACTTGTTCCTCCGCTTCCTCCTGGGTCTTTCACTGCAGACCAATCAGAAACTCCTGGGAGGCCTGGTGACGCAGACAGGAAGTAGCTCAGAGATCAACCAGAAAACAGTCCAGTACATCAAGAAGAAGATGGATGAGGATCTGTCTGCAGAGAAAAGCATCAACCTGTTCCACTGTCTGAATGAACTGAATGATCGTTCTCTAGTGGAGGAGATCCAACAATCCCTGAGATCAGGCAGTCTCTCCACAGAGGATCTGTCTCTTGCTCAGTGGTCGGCTCTGGTCTTCATCTTACTGTCATCAGAAGAAGATCTGGACGTGTTTGACCTGAAGAAATACTCTGCTTCAGAGGAGGCTCTTCTGAGGCTGCTGCCAGTGGTCAAAGCCTCCAGGAAAGCTCTGTAAGTGGAGAGATAATTTGATTTAGTGAATCAGTTATTAATACACTGCTGTCTTCTAAATAACTGTTGGTCCATCGTCTCTTCAGACTGAGTGGCTGTAAGCTGTCAGAGAGAAGCTGTGCAGCTCTGTCCTCAGTCCTCAGCTCCCAGTCCTCTAGTCTGAGAGATCTGGACCTGAGTAACAACGACCTGCAGGATTCAGGAGTGAAGCTGCTGTCTGCTGGACTGGAGAGTCCACACTGTGAACTGGAGACTCTCAGGTCAGAGTTCAGCTTTTTATTTACAAGCAGTTTCACTTTTCAATTATTGTCATCCAGCTTTTTGTTCATGTTGATGAAGATGGTCCACCTCTGATGTTGCTGCTCATGTGACTTTTTAAAGCACTGAGTTTACTGTATTCCCTGGTTCCAGTCTGTCAGGCTGTCTGGTCACAGAGGAAGGCTGTGTTTCTCTGGCTTCAGCTCTGAGCTCCAACCCCTCCCATCTGAGAGAGCTGGACCTGAGCTACAATCATCCAGGAGACTCAGGAGAGAAGCGGCTTTCTGCTGGACTGGAGGATCCACTCTGGAAACTGGACACTCTCAGGTATGGACAGACTGACTGCAGGTTCCTCATATTTTTCTAATGTAATCTCTTTCATCTCTGGTCTTCCATCATGAAGGACGTCTCATTTCCCTTGATTATGTTCACAGCAGTGAGTTAACCTTGAAGTCTTATTACATGGAAACAGCCATTCAGTCCAAACATCAGAACCACTGGCTCTAGGGAGGATAATGATGGTCAGTTTATGAATTTGGTTCTGACTGAGATATCTCACCAAATGCGAAATGTGTTGAGATGAGATTCTGTTTGACATTTTTGATCCCCAGAGGGTTGACCCACAGAGATCCAAAGTTCTAGTGATATTTCATTTCTGGTTTTTTTTCAGTTGTTGTCAGAGTCTTGATGTTGGAAGTTTACTTCGAGAGAGGTTTAGGTTTTGAAATGTTGTTTTTTTACCTTGTTTTACCTGGCCTTGCTCTGTGAATTCTGGGTCCATCGACAATAAAGGACTTGCATTGAAATAATCTGTCTCTCTGTCCCACGGACAGACTGAGCTCTGCTTCAGGTTGAACAGCAGCTAGGACTCATGTTGGATAGAAATTCATCCTGCCTGTGTTTCTTCCTCCAGGCTGGACCATGGTGGAGAGCAGAGGTTAAAACCAGGTGTGAGGAAGTGTAAGTGTGGATCAGTCAGCTTCTCTCTAAAGACACAGATGATGGAGGTGCTATTTATTCATTAGAACATGACATCTTGAAGCTTTATAGAAAGATCACTGACAGAGAGGAAAGCCTTCAGGTGAGTCTGATGATAAACTGCTGTCTGTGTCTCTCATCAGATTCCTGTGAACTCACCCTGGACTCAAACACAGTGAACAGAGACCTCATCCTGTCTGAGGACAACAGGACGGTGACACCTGTGAGAGGAGAGAAGCAGCCATATCCTGATCATCCAGAGAGGTTTGACTCCTGTTCTCAGCTGATGTGCAGAGAAGCTCTGACTGGTCTCTGTTACTGGGAGGTAGAGTGGAGAGGAGGGGTTTCTATATCAGTGACTTACAGAGGAATCAGGAGGAGAGGAAATAGAAAGGACTGTAGGTTTGGAAGGAATGATCAGTCCTGGAGTCTGAGATGCTCTGGTAATGGTTACTCGGTCTGGAACAATGACAGAAGAACACACACCTCTTCCTCTTCCTTATCCTCCTCCATCTCCCCCTCCTCTGGTAGAGTAGCAGTGTATCTGGATCATCCTGCTGGCTCTCTCTCCTTCTACAGAGTCTCCTCTGACACACTGACCCACCTCCACACCTTCAGAGCCACATTCACTGAACCTCTCTACGCTGGGTTTGCGCTCAGGTTCGATGGTTCCTCAGTGTCTCTGTGTCCTCTGTAGGAGGAGACCACTTCCTGTCCTGGGGTTTTAATGTTGGTGTTTTGAATCAATGCTTTTCATTGGTTAACATGTGTGTCATGGGCGTCGCAGCCATTATATGAGGGTGGGATAAGTCCCCCCGACCTTTTAAAATGATTAGTTTGGCCCCCCCGACTTTTACCATATTGAAAGTCCGTGCATCGGTCTATCCACTCGCCGCTCTTTGTAGAGCGCTGTGTCAGTGCTTCATTATCCAATCCATTCCACTTGCTTATTGTGAGAATGCCCAAATCAATGAAACTCCATACCATGTTTTCACTGCTACTTTGTACCAAGGCAGATTCTCACATTGACACCAGATGGACACACGATAAAGGAAATGTTCAAATTCGGCTCTGATCGTAACAACATCGGGCCATTCGTGAGCCAAGCAACAGCCGAAGCAAGTACGATGCCTACAGAAGGCCACACGATGGCACCTGAACCACACACGAAAATATGGTCGTAGACTTTACTGATGATTTAGAATGTATCCAGACTCAACGTAAGAGCGTGTGCCTCTTCGGGTGGGTGCTAACATTTAAACATACACTTTATTCTTGACTTTTCCGTCTTTATATGTAGAAGATATGACTTATCTCCGTCATGTTGTTTCCATAGCAACAACAACTTCCTGTCAACAGCGTAAACTCGCCTTCAAAATAAAAGCATCTAAATAAAACAGGAAGTTAACCTAAATTACATGTAAGACATACAACTGCAACGGAAGTAACAAAAACAATGTAATATCCTTTTCAGTTTCACAGAACACAAATTGGGTTATTTACACAATATGTTTACATGATTTGATGAACAACCAGAGAAGCGATCTGCAAGGAAACATCGCACACCGTGTCCGCATGCTCCTGTTTCACCTGCTTCATACAGGTATCATCACTGCTACTGATTTCAATAGAGCATTTGTGATGAATTGTGATTGAAGCTTTGGGAGTTACACACGCCTCTGCTCTGTAGAGTTGCTCAGGACTGACTGAGGAAGATGCTCTGAGGCTGGCCTTTTATATGTCCATGTTACCATGACAGCTACTCAAATTCGGCTGTCTTCGCCGACACCGTGGTCCCATCTCGATGTCATCGTACTATAATACAATGGCTACACGACGGCATTGCGAGGGCTTCACGTAGTCGTGTTGCCTTCCTAAGACAATCGGGCAGCTTCTTGTTTCCTTCGTATTGTCTTTGTGAGGCGAAAAATGCCCGATGGCACCGATGATCACACGAAGATGACAAGATTTGACAAGATGCCCTCACGGTGGCCTTACGAAGGGCAAAATGGACACAGGAATTCAACACGAAAATGCACCTTCGCAAGGTCCTTCGGCAATTTTTTGACATGCCAAAGATGTTGCCACCGCTCAGGAAATTGCTGCCGGAGCCTGAGAAACTCCACTGGCGGTCATACGATGGCTTAAGACGCCCTCACGAATGGCCCGATGTTGTTACGATCAGAGCCGAATTTGAACATTTCCTTTATCGTGTGTCCATCTGGTGTACATTTCGGGACAGTGTGATGCGGGCTTTAAGGAGTGTTGCCTTAGTGGACAGCTCAGATCTGCCACAGTGTCAGCTGGCGCAATAGGAGACTATTAAAAAGCCACATGCATTAAATAGTGCTAAACCCGATACAAGCCAAAGCGGATACACTTTACCCACAGTCAAATACATTTCAGGTTAACCATTACAGGAAGATGAACGGTTTCTATAGCCGGTTTTTGTTTTGTAAACATCACAGTGCAAATAGAGCGCAGCAACCAGGTTACTGGTATTTATCATGTCAATAGGGAACATGAATAACCCGATCTCTCTGTGCTCATGTAAACACCATATATGATCATAACCAGGATAATACTCATAAACGGCTTACTCATGTCCATGTAGACGCAGTCAGTGTTTGCTGTGCATGTGACTTCAGTTCGATTATTTTCTGACTTCTTTAACTCAGGTACTCTCTCCAAATGTAATGTGCATTATGTTTTAATTATACTTCTTATCATTCAGAAGCTTTTTGTGTGTTTATGTTTCACTGAGTGCTTATAGGCAATTACCATCCCAGTATTCAGTTAACTATTTATTTACTATGCATATTACAAAGACAATCACAACAAGTCACAGTAAGTCAATCTGTGTTGTCCTTGTTGTGGCGATCCAGCACTGACAACAGGAAAGAATGAAACAGAGAGGAATCAATGAAACACAAACACAGAAATAGCTGAGATTATTATTATTTAGTTGTTGCAACAAACAAATAACAATGGGGAAACATTACCTTGCTTCAACAGCAACCAATCGCAGAAATGCTCCCACGAACACAAGAAACACAGGGCAGATATAGGTTTCCTAAATGACACACGAACATGTTCCCTCATCATGTTTAACGCACACACATAGTCAGTTCTCCTAAACTTGGACATGTTCCAGATGTCCAAAGGTCATCATCTCATGACTTCTTTAGGAGCCTTGCAGGATATGAATTATCCAATTAACAAACTATATATACGTCTGCACATGAACGCACATACATTTCTTACATTAACTAACACTTAACTGTATTATATCTAAATGTAGCCCCTTTGCATTTCCTCTGAGATTGGCGTCAGCTCACTTAACGTAATAATTAGCAAAGAGATAATTATCTGGAAACTGTAATTCAATAACATACCTAGTTACTACGACTAGGTCCAAGACTGATATAACATCCTCACTATTATTATTTATTTTAAACTTACGTCCTAGACTAGCTAATATTCTACCTACTGCTTGGGACTTTGGGTACTCAAAATGTCCAATGGCCAACTCCATTGTTAGAAGAATTACAAATAGAGGGGTGCCCGCACTTCAGTACTCCATTATTATTGATGGAAGCCAGGATGTTTCGGGAGTCGAACAAGAGGCCATATGTATCTGTTATGTGGATCATGATCTTATCCCTCATGAAGACTTTGTAGGTCTATATGAGGTGTCTTTAACGACAGGGAAGAGTTCGGCTAAGGTGGCAACTGATGTTCTCCTGCGGTTGAACTTGTCCTGTCTTCATGGGCAGACCTACGATGGAGCTACAAACATGTCCGGCGAAAGCAAAGGAGTTCAAGCAGTTCTCAGAGAGAAGCAACCTCTTGCTTTGTATGTCCGTTGTGGTCCTCACTGTGTCAGCCTCGTGACTCAGACAGCCTGGAGCTCATCCCCTGTGGTGTCTGATGCACTGAATTGGGTCCACACATTTGGCACTCTCTACCACCAGTCTGGAAAATATAAGACTATTTTTAAAGAGATTGCCCAGTCTGAAGCAGGGAGTTTCATAACTCTAAAGCCCCTCTGCCCAACACGATGGCTCTTGAGGATAGTGGCCATTCAGGCAGTCAAAGGACAGTATGAAGAGGTATTGCTCAGTCTGGAGGAAATGGCTGCATCTGGCTCCGGCTCAATATCCATCCAGCACCATCACTGACGCAGTAAACGCTCTCAAAGCCACTGCCAAGTAGAGTCTTTGGTTAGACTTATTCTTATAGTGCCATGCTCCTCAGCCGAAGCAGAACGAAGTTTTAGTTCCTTAAGAAGGCTTAAGACATGGCTCCGCTCCTCCATGAGTCAACGTCGTTTGGACAATGTGCGTCTGCCACATAGAAGAGATTTGCCAGCTCTTATCTCTGCAAATGATAACAGAAGGCATGTTTTTGGGGCCTTCATTTAGTCTAAAGCAGTCTTTCCCAAATTTAGGGTCAAAATGGGAGTAAAATGCATAACAATGCTACGATATGTGAATTCATTTGACTTATTGAAATAGAGAATAGGTTTTGCTTCACTGGTCTGTTCAGCTCACCTGCTGTGTGCTTTCAACCCAGTCTCACGCCATTTCGTGTTATAGTCACGAAATTAATGTAATCTATTGATTCGTGTTCACCAACACGATTTTCACCTTTTTTTCGTGTCACACAGAACGATTTTAAATGCAATGTATTTCTATTGGTAGTATGTTTCGTGCCTGCAACACGTCTTTTTGTCCGGTCGGGTCTTGGAAGACCAGAAGCTGTGTGGTTCATAAAAACATGTTCTTACTCAATATCTTACCCTAAGCCTAACCCTATCCCTTTTATTTTAAATTGTATAATGTCTGAGTTTTGTTGCCGTCAGTGAGAAAAAGAAATGTCTCAGAGCCTCAGAATACTGACATCTGGATTTTATGTCATCTTTTTTTCCTTCTAATTTGTTATTATTTGGTGCAGGCACGAAACATACTACCAATAGAAATACATTGCTTCTAAAATCGTTCTGTGTCAGAATACTGAAATCTGTATTTTTTTAAATCTGTTTTTCCTTCTAATTTGTTATTATTTACATTGCTTTTAAAATCGTTCTGTGTGACATGAAAAAAATGGGAAAATCGTGTTGGTGAACACGAATCAATAGATTAATTTCGTGATTATAACACGAAATGCGGTGAGACTGTGTTGGTGCTTTTATGTCATCGTTCAAGTTCATAGTGCAAGTATGTTATGAGGTGGTGAGAAACTTAACCTAGATAATTTTTGTAATGTACTTTTTACAATGAAATAAAAACATTTCATATAGATTTTAAATTCATGTTTTGTTGTGTTCTTTATCAGTAGTTTTTAAATATTGATCTTATGGCAATTCATGATGTATTTTTGTAAGTTTGGGTCCTGGGGAGACACCAAATGTATCTTTTGGGTCTCGAGCCAAAATAATTTGGGAACCTCTGGTCTAATCTGATTGATCATTTGATAACATTAAATACATTCATTTAACAGAAATTGCAACTGCATGCTTGATGAGTGTTTTTTTTTTTTTAAATTAAAGATGGCTGGAGTCAATAATCAAATATGTTTCTTTACTACTGGATGAAATTACAAAATATACCCATATTTTCCTCGTGCTAGTATAGCCACATAAAAGTCAAACCACCAGAATACAGGAAATGAGATCTACTCCGTCACATTGTCCCACCCACATTGAGGACGCTTCCTACGCCCATGGTGTCTCTACTGTTTCATTAATGAGCGTATAGCTGATCATGTGTATGGACTGTGATATGTTTCAATAAAGGGTTAAAGTAGAATGTGTGAGGTAATGTACATTTCACAGTGACCTGACTCTGCAGTGATGTAACTCTGTGTCAGAACAGAGCATCTCACTACAGCGTCCTGCAGTCTGAAGTTCATGCTTCAACGACATCATTCTCACACACACACACACACACACACACACACACACACACACACACACACACACACACACACACACACACACACACACACACACACACACACACACACACACACACACACACACACACACACACACACACACACACACACACACACACACACACACACACTCAGCTCCAGAGAGCAGGGGCATCATCCCTCAGAGACTGAAGCTGCCTCTCAATCGGAGGACGCTGTCTTCAGAATCCCAGATTAAGATATTCGGTGTGTTTTCTAAAGTTTGTTAAAGACAGTTTCTGATCGGAGATGTACTCGCAGTACTGGAACACAGCCCGGGCACAAAGACCGGACTACAGGAGATACACAGTGAGTACCACATAGTATGTCAAAGTTAAAACAGGACCTAAAATTATAAAGCTACAGGCGCTACAAGGAATAAGAGATGCATTGACTCAAACATACATTAAAATGTCTCTCAGATGAGTTATTAAATAATATTATTAATTAAAGCGATGAGTGGGTCTTCGACGATCCGCACAGGTTCGCTGCTGTCTGCACATTGACACGTCGCGCAGATGTTTACCGGACTCTGAGGTTTTGGGCTGATCAGACGATGTTCATGGGAGTTACTGCAGTAACATAAACATCGTGTTTGGTGGCGAGTGATCTGTCGCCATGGCAATGGCATAATCTTAGATGTCTTCAGGGCTGCATGGTTATAAAACATGAGAAGTTTTGGGCCGTTTGGAGCATGTTCACTGAGGTTATGAGAAAACTGTGTTTCATGGCGAGCATTGTGTTGCCATGGCAACGGCATTTGACGAAATCGCAAAACTGTCACTTCACGGCTGGACTGTTAGCACCCAAGGGAAGTTTGAGCACTTTTTGACAATTTTCACAGGAGTTATAGCAATATCGTGTTTTATGGGGAGGGATGCGTTGCCATGGAAACGGCATATGATGACACCCAATAATTGGCGTACAGCTGTTGAGGCATGGAGAGGTGATATACAAGTGAAGTTTGGTGGACGATCAGACCGTGTCCATTGGAGTTACAGCAACATTGTGTTTTATGGCGAGGGATGCGTTGCCATGGTAACACATCATTATGAAACCTTAGATTTGAATTAGAGCTGTTCAGGGCAGCAGTGTTAACCATCATGTGATGTTTGGTGGCGTTCTGAGCATGTCAGTTGGTGTTATGACATCATCGTGTTCCATGGCGAGGGATCGCCTAGCATCGAGCGAACGTGAAAATGGGCGCCGCATAACGACAACGCCGTGCCGTGAAAAGTTTAGATTTTGATAATTTTTAATTCCCCAGGTCTCGAGACGCTACGTTCCAAATTTGGAGTTGATCGGATAAAATCCCTAGGAGGAGATCTCTAAAGAACGGAGCCCGAAAAACGCGATAAATAGTTTAGTTTAGTTTAATTTTGCATAATTCCAATGCTAAATTCAAAATGGCGGTCTTCCTGTACGTTTTTTAATATACCTCCAAAAGGCTTTTTTGTTCGTCTCCGCACTTTAGATGTGCGTAGCAAATGTTGTTTGTTTTAAAACTTTAAAGTGAAAGTGGGGGGGTTTACGATAAAAACTGAAGTGGGTGTGGCCTGCGCCGACTATCTTCACTGACCTCTGGTCTCAGACCCTAATTATTATATATGGTATTATTAACCTTTATACTTTAAAAAAAATGTTGATGATAAAAATTACATGAAATGGAGCAAAGCCTGCGAGCTAGTTCAGGCAGTCAACTCGAGCACTTACGCTGCATCCATACATAACGCCCCGTGCCACTCTACAACCAACTAAACAGAGTCTCCTTAATGTGCCGCTCTATTGAACCTGCCAGATCTCTCTCCATGCATTGCTAGCTGCTGCTGCTGCGTTCGTGCTGCTGCTTGCTGCCCCACCACCAAATACAAAAAGAAAAATAGTTTCAAAGAAAAAAAGTGAAATATTGCAATAAGAGTCTATGCAAATTATTGGAATGATATATTAGAGAAATAGATAAATAATGACTAAGTAGCAGATGAATGTTATGGATGTTGTTTCAGCAGTTCAGGTGTTTAACAGTCTTATGGCCTGTGGGATGAAGCTGTCTCTGAATCTGGTGGTTTTAGTCCGGATGCTGCGGCAGCAGACTGAACAGTTTGTGGCTGGGGTGATGGGGGTCTTTTATAATCCTGAGGGCTTTCTTCCTGAGCACTTCATTATGATGGAGGTGAGTGCTACTGGGCGGTAGTCGTTGGGGCAGGTGATGATTGTCTTTTTGGGGACAGGAACGATAGTGGAGTGTTTAAGACATGTGGGGACTACAGACTGCAGCAGGGACCTGTTGAAGATGTCTTTGAACACCTCTGCCAGCTGAACTGCACACACCCTGAGAACACGGCCAGGGATGCCATCAGGTCCAGGAGCCTTGTGTGGGTTAACCCTTTTAAAGGATTTGCACACATCTGCCCTGTTTAAAACAAAAGGGCAGTGTAGCTCCTGGTCCTTCTCTGCACCTCCAGCCTGGCTGCTCTCAAATTCAGGATTCATGCTGATCCAGCATAATTGGGGTTAAACTATATATTGTTATTTAAGTTATGGTACATCGCAGGTGATAATGAGTAATCCAAAGTAACTAGTAATACATATACATATATATATATATACATTGAGCAGTGAGTAATTTAGTAAAGGAATGCGTTTCTGTGTGACCCAACACGGCTGATAAGCTCGCATGATTCTGATGGTCTGACTGCAGGTGGTGGAGGGGGGGGGCGCTGCTTCCTCTGGGCTTCACCTGGCGCAGGAAGCGCCTTCGCTCGGCAGGAGAGGAAGACGAGGAGGCGCCCGGCTGGGCAGTGAGACCGAACCCTGAAGGCCAGCAGGAGCAGGAGCAGGAGCAGGATCGGGATCAGGATCGGGATCGGGATCGGGATCGGGATCGGGAGGTTTGGGTTACAGTATTCTTCAGAGAAACTGATAAATGATTTGTGGACAAAGTTTGTCTTTTGTTATATTTAATAAAGTAATAAAGAAAGTCAATATAAAGTGAGATGGATCTGAAGAGCAGGAACAGAGCAGCTTCCTCCTCAGAGGAGAGAGAAGCTCTGCTTTCAGTCTCTCTGTGTGTTCATGAGAGGAACCAGCTGCTCCTCCATCCCATCATCAAACCATTACACCTCCTCGTCCTTAACCATTTACATTCACCTTTTACACTTCCTTTACCTCCTGAAATGTAAACCCTAAACATCTGTCTCTGTTAAACACGTTCAAGAATACAAATACAATGTCACAGAGAAAAGGCAATCAGAGTATAGGACTAAGTGTTTTAAATGATTGTGATCATTTGACACGACAGTAAATACCATCAGAATCAGAAACCCTTTGTTTCGCCCGAACTCTACAGAACAGCATCGAGGAGCAGGATGATATTTACTGGGATGAGGAAAAGTGTGGATGAAAGTCAGCGAGTGTGTGTTTGTGTGTGAGTGTGTTTGTGTGTGAGTGTGTTTGTGTGTGAGTGTGTTTGTGTGTGAGTGTGTTTGTGTGTGAGTGTGTTTATGTGTGAGTGTGTTTGTGTGTGAGTGTGTTTGAATGTGTGTGTATTTTCTACAACACACACCGCCTATTGTCGTACCTTTAGTAGCTTCTGTGTTCATTTTCTGAACCCAGCGATCACATTTCAATCTTCTGAATATATATTTACATAGTGTTTTTATTTAGCTCAGATGTAGAGTTACAGTGTAATTATTGATATTCTGAAAAAAAAGTCTTTGTTTGTTGAGAATCAACCAAAACCCCAAATGACGAGTTATTCTGATAAATCCACCGTTATCTCTGAACATGACGTTATGACATCCGACTGATCTCCACCGAGCGGTCACATATCTGCATATCTCTGTACATATATATGGATATCTGCCCTGGTTGTGTGTCTGTGTGGAAACGCATCAGCTCCTCAGAGAAAGTGGAGGACTCAGTTTGACGCTGAACTCGTCTGTCAGATCGGTTGTATGAACATGAGAGCAGCTCTAATGGGGCGAGAGAGCCTCAGTTTACGTTAACTCTCTCTCTCTCTCCACGGAGAACGAAGCTTTGTGATTTGTTCCTTGATCTGCTTCCACTGTCTCTCTGCTGCACACACACAGTGACCCCTGAGCTCGCTGTGACCCCTGAGCTCACTGTGAACCACAGCTAATGTTAGCTATGAATCACATGTAACCCCCTCCCCCTGTAGTTCTATAGGTGTTAGTGCATGTCAATGGTCTGCTCAGGCTCAAACCCCTGTGTTCCCTCCAGAGGGAATCCCCCCCCCCCAGCCTGAAACGCCTCCATTGGACTCCTTTGTTTACTTCAGGAACATAGTGACATCACTATGGAGCACTTGCGCTCTTCTATCGGCTGAAACACACTCCTGTGCAGAGGGAGATAATAAGCACTGCAGGTAGCTAACCGTACGGAAGCACCAACCAGGTTTTTATCAGATGTCCCCGTTAACGTCAAGGTTATTAAATATTAAACACGTCGTTCCTCCGGGAACAAGTTTGTCACTTTTCATTTCCATCGTCTCTGTGAAGAACCCAGTCATGTGTCTGATGAATCTGTCAGCTGCTCTTAATGAACAGGTATTGGTGTGTGTGTGTGTGTGTGTGTGTGTGTGTGTGTGTGTGTGTGTGTGTGTGTGTGTGTGTGTGTGTGTGTGTGTGTGTGTGTGTGTGTGTGTGTGTGTGTGTGTGTGTGTGTGTGTGTGTGTGTGTGTGTGTGAGTGTGTGTGTGTGTGTGTTCATCACAATGCAGCTCACATATTCCTGATAGCAGATTAAAAGCAGCTGACGTCATGTGACTGAACCAGCGCTGTAAACATGTCGGCGTTTACTTTTCCCCAAAAATAAAGTTAAATATAGTTTCTTTAAAGGTCCTTAAGATATTTGTTTCTGCGGTAGTCGGAGATCAACCGACATTCCCTCAGCGCATCACGGCCCCCCCTCGCCCCCTCAAAGTTAGACCTCAGGTCGCCTAAAAGGTTCCCCAGGCTCCTGGAGCAGGAGGTGATCAGGGGGACGAGGATTGGACCAGATGGCCGAGTGGTGGTTTTGTTATATTTTCTCTTTAAAAGTTCGGCCGACCTCTGCCTTGACGCTTGTGAGGAAGCACCTTGAGTAACCCCTGGGTCTCAGTGCACTGCAGAGGGAGCTGGTGGCCTCCTCCACATGCTCCGGGAAGGTGCAAATCCTGTGGAAGCGTCTCACATGGGATTTTATCAGGCCACTGTACGTGTGCCTCGGTGATAAGTGGTTTTATGGAGGAGAGTATGACGGTCTGTATCTTTGTAAAAAACCTTTGTGGCAAGTGTTTTATCCTGGTCGCTGGAGTCGCAAAAGAAGACACAGATGTCCAAACATTCAACTGAAAGAGGTTGTAAATGGTGTTTGAGTTTTACTTTGGGGTGATGTGAGTTGAGAATGTCCATGAAGGTTGAAAAGTCTGATCTGCTGTGGTGCCAGAGGCCAAAGATGTCGTCCAAGTACCGGAAATACAGGAGGGGTTTTAAGGGAGTTGTATCCCTGCAGCCTGGTTCTCTCCCAGTACTAGTTAATGCCACGATCTCCACATTCAAAACACTTTTCCTTTAGGTGGACATCCCATTTCCATCGTGCGGAAGTTTGTCCAATGGCATGAAGCGTCCCACGTTATTTGTGTCCAAAAATAGGGAGTTTCCCTAACCCACCTTAAGGGTTGGTTAGTCAGCCTACTTAAGAATATATCTCGGACTAATGTCACAGCAGGATCTGGAAAAAGACCTTATAGCTGTGTGTAGCTTGTAACTCTGCCTTGTGTTGAGAGCTGCTGTATGAATTAACTTGCTCTGCCTCCCCAGGATGTGGCGTATAGCTCTTTCCTATTGGATGAACTCCAGAAGGCCCCTCCCCTCCATGTTCCTGACGCCTCCCTCCCCAGGCTGAGACGCCTCGCTCACGGCTCCGTTTGGGGGGTGACCTCTGACCCCCCGGTGAAGCAGCAGCGATGGTCGTTCGATGAGCAGCGGGGGGGCGGAGTTCACAGCACCTACCTGGGAGGGGGCGGGGCCAAAGGGCAGGCCATGCCCCTCCCCCTGAGTGCTCAGCTGGAGGGGGTGTGGAGGGTCCACTGCTGCTCCCCTGGACTACAGGACACTACGGTGAGCAGGGAGGGACACACTTCAAAGGCTTCATCATCAGATGCTCAGCTACATGGATACGGTACCTGAAGTCCCAGGCTCTCCGACAATACAACACAATATATATATATGATGCAGGACTAATGTGCAGTAAATGGGCTAACCCTCCTTACATCCCTGACATGAGTCAGCATTATGAGTCCTTACATCCCTAACATGAGTCAGCATCATGAGTCCTTACATCCCTAACGTGAGTCAGCATCATGAGTCCTTACATCCCTAACGTGAGTCAGCATTATGAGTCCTTACATCCCTAACGTGAGTCAGCATCATGAGTCCTTACATCCCTAACGTGAGTCAGCATCATGAGTCCTTACATCCCTGTCATGAGTCAGCATTATGAGTCCTTACATCCCTAACATGAGTCAGCATTATGAGTCCTTACATCCCTGTCATGAGTCAGCATCATGAGTCCTTACATCCCTGTCATGAGTCAGCATCATGAGTCCTTACATCCCTAACGTGAGTCAGCATCATGAGTCCTTACATCCCTAACGTGAGTCAGCATCATGAGTCCTTACATCCCTGTCGTGAGTCAGCATCATGAGTCCTTACATCCCTGTCGTGAGTCAGCATCATGAGTCCTTACATCCCTGTCGTGAGTCAGCATCATGAGTCCTTACATCCCTGTCGTGAGTCAGCATCATGAGTCCTTACATCCCTGTCGTGAGTCAGCATCATGAGTCCTTACATCCCTAACGTGAGTCAGCATCATGAGTCCTTACATCCCTAACGTGAGTCAGCATCATGAGTCCTTACATCCCTAACGTGAGTCAGCATCATGAGTCCTTACATCCCTAACGTGAGTCAGCATCATGAGTCCTTACATCCCTAACATGAGTCAGCATCATGAGTCCTTACATCCCTAACATGAGTCAGCATCATGAGTCCTGAGGTCTATTTCTCGTGAAGATAATACCCTTTGCTAAATATCAGAATCAGAATCAGAATGTCTTTATTGGTCCCACAGTATATATTCCAGCTATACTTGTTCATATATTCACTGTCAGTTCAATTGACTCTCTGCTCGTTAGCCGTTAGCCGTTAGCCGCAGTGACGCAGTAACGACCTCAGCTAATTACTTAACGAGCTCCTGATCCGGTCATGTTTCCCTCCTCTGGGACCCCGTCAGGGACCGTTAATCAGTCTCTAACGAACCACTTCGGTCAGGAAACAGAATCTGAAGACGTTAATGTTTGTCTGTGATCAGAGGCGTTTTTTTTATGAGCAGAAGTCGATGTTTGTGATACAAAGTTTACATGTGTCCCTCCCGTCTTTATTCATCTGTGGTGGCTTTAATAACCAATAAGAAAGGGTTGACGAAAGGTGTTTAACGCCCTGCGTGTCGTCTGTCAGGCTGCAGGAGGCGAGAAGCCTGCCGCCCACAGCATCGCCACCCAAACCTGCCGCCCTCCGTCTGCCGCCGCCAACTTCTTCAACAGGTCAGTGAACGCACCACGCACCCACATTCATGCAAAGGTCCATCATTTCAAATATCAAACCTAAAGCACAGCGTTCAGTACACAGAAGAACTGTCCTGCAGTTACACCATGAAATAAAGCCAGTGTCACAAACACAACATGGTGAGACACTGCTCAGGGCATTATGGGTAATGTAGGCACTGTGTTTTCATAAAGTCAGACTGAGTTATTGGACTGACGGTAAAAAGGTGGCCTGTTTTTCACCATGTCAGTTTGGAAGCTGCCGAGCTTTGGTTTGAATTATCAGTGATAAAGCTAAATATCTGCAGATTGAAGGAAGACATCTGAGACGGTTCTTCTGTCGGAGATACATGAGAACATTACAGGTGAATGTCGTCTCTCATGAAGCTCTGGAGGAAGCTGACATGAGGACGAGCTCCATCATTCAGAGCGGAGTGAGACCTCTCTGTGGAAATGGGTGTGAAACAGGAAGTATTTTGCTCAAAGCAGCCTCTATGATTACACTCTGAATACTTCTCTCACCAAAATAAAACCCAAACTGAGCCGAGGATAAATCCAGAGGGGGGTCGGGTTCCTCAAAGTGGCGTCCTGGCTCTGGGCCCGAGCGCCGGTATCGACGTGGAGAGCGACCCGTCTGGATCAGATCTGCAGCAATGCACCAAAATATGACCTGGAACCAGAGGAGGCAGCGTCTGGTCAGGAGACTCTGACTTTGGAAACTTACAGGACGTTACACCAGAGGACACAAAGACCCTCCTGGTGTCCAGACGCTCCTCTCGTTCAGTCACTCCTCTTTGATCATTAAATCATGAAGTCAGAAGGTCATTGGGATTCTACGGTGTCCTACAGGTGCCACAGCGACTCAAAACTCTTCCATCAGGAGAAACCAAGCAGAAATAAAAACACAAATGTTCAAAACACATGAAGAAACGGCTAGTAATGGCTAACAGTGACTAGTGGTGGTTAACAATGGCTAGTGGTGGCTAACAATGGCTAGTGGTGGTTAACAATGGCTAGTGGTGGTTAACAATGGCTAGTGGTGGCTAACAATGACTAGTGGTGGCTAACAATGGCTAGTAATGGCTAACAATGGCTAGTGGTGGTTAACAATGGCTAGTGGTGGCTAACAATGGCTAGTAATGGCTAACAATGGCTAGTGGTGGCTAACAATGGCTAGTGGTGGTTAACAATGGCTAGTGGTGGTTAACAATGGATAGTGGTGGTTAACAATGGCTAGTGGTGGCTAACAATGGCTAGTAATGGCTAACAATGGCTAGTGGTGGCTAACAATGGCTAGTGGTGGTTAACAATGGCTAGTGGTGGTTAACAATGGCTAGTGGTGGCTAACAATGACTAGTGGTGGCTAACAATGGCTAGTAATGGCTAACAATGGCTAGTGGTGGCTAACAATGGCTAGTGGTGGTTAACAATGGCTAGTGGTGGTTAACAATGGATAGTGGTGGTTAACAATGGCTAGTGGTGGCTAACAATGGATAGTGGTGGCTAACAATGGCTAGTGGTGACTAACAATGGCTAGTAATGGCTAACAATGACTAGTGGTGGCTAACACTGGCTAGTGGTGGCTAACAGTGACTAGTGGTGGCTAACAATGACTAGTGGTGGCTAACAATGGCTAGTGGTGGTTAACAATGGCTAGTGGTGGCTAACACTGGCTAGTGGTGGCTAACAATGGCTAGTGGTGGCTAACACTGGCTAGTGGTGGCTAACAATGGCTAGTGGTGGCTAACAATGGATAGTGGTGGCTAACAATGGCTAGTGGTGGCTAACAATGGATAGTGGTGGCTAACAATGGCTAGTGGTGGTTAACAATGGCTAGTGGTGGCTAACAATGGCTAGTGGTGGCTAACAATGGATAGTGGTGGCTAACAATGGATAGTGGTGGCTAACAATGGATAGTGGTGGCTAACAATGGCTAGTGGTGGCTAACAATGGCTAGTAATGGCTAACAATGGCTAGTGGTGGCTAACAATGGCTAGTAATGGCTAACAATGGCTAGTGGTGGCTAACAATGGCTAGTGGTGGCTAACAATGGATAGTGGTGGCTAACAATGGCTAGTGGTGGCTAACAATGGCTAGTAATGGCTAACAATGGCTAGTGGTGACTAACAATGGCTAGTGGTGGCTAACAGTGACTAGTGGTGGCTAACAATGGCTAGTGGTGGCTAACAATGGCTAGTGGTGGCTAACAGTGACTAGTGGCCTAACAATGGCTAGTGGTGGCTAACAATGGCTAGTGGTGGCTAACAGTGACTAGTGGTGGCTAACAGTGACTAGTGGTGGCTAACAATGGCTAGTGGTGGTGAATGATGTTAACTTATGAAGAATAATGGGTAGAAATGGTCTTTGACTGCTTTTAATTGCGACCAATGTCCAGAAGCAACCATTAGCTTGTGGCCAGTTAGGGTTAAAAATGGATAAGTATGGCTAAGAAGAGTCAAATGGATGGCTAGTTATGGTTAGTAATTGCAACTAATGGTCTAAACTAAAACTAAAAATAAAAATCTAATAATGCTAGATATTGTCGACTAATTAAAAATGATGGCGAGCATTGGCAACTAATGACATGTGACAACTTTTAAAAGCTAGCAATGGGAAAGTGGCAATAAATTACCAGTAATGGTGAATAATGGTTATTAATGGGTAGTGATGGTGAATAATTTGTAGTAATGCCATGTGCCGGCTTTTTATTGATAGCAATGACTCGTAGCGACCAATAGCTAGTGACTAGTAAAGCCTAATAGTTGCTAGTTATGGTAAATAACGGCAACTAATGGGAGGTGATTACTAACATGTTCAAACACTGTATGGATTATTATGGATGGAGAGCAATGGTTGATTCCAATAATAAACATGATGTCTAGCTATGGCAACTAATGACATGTGTCTGTGTTACACACACGACTGCAGACAATTAATATGAAATTACATTTACACACACACACACACACACACACACACACACACACACACACACACACACACACACACACACACACACACACACACACACACACACACACACACACACACACACACACACACACACACACACACACACACACACACACAGAGTCTCTTTGAAGTCCAGCAGTGGGGGTGTCTGTCATCTCATGAAGTATTCATATAGCATGCCAAGTATGTGTGTGTGTGTGTGTGTGTGTGTGTGTGTGTGTGTGTGTGTGTGTTTCACGGCTGATGTGTGTCGACACTGCGAGGGGGGGGGGCAGGGCTGGAGCATCGCCAGTGTTTCCCGGCAACAGCATCAGTGAGGCAGGAGGATCCTCGCCCTTTATTTCTACCTCTTGATTTTAAGCTCCTCTGCTCCCATTCATCCCCCTCTCTCTGAGGAGGAGGAAGAGGAGGGGAGGAGGAAGAGCATTGCGATACTGCAGGAACAGACTGAGGAGCAGCAGGAGAGGAGAGACCGGCACAGGAGGAACAGAAGGAGGAGGGAAGGATATCAGAGAGACACAAGGAGAGGGGGAAGAAATGGACATATGAAGGGTTTAGAGGACGGGACAGGTACAAAGTACATGTAGACGGAAAACAGGTCCAAAGACCAGAGAGAGGGAAGGGGAGGTGAAGAGAGGAAGAGGAGGTGAAGAGAGGAAGAGGAGGTGAACGGAGGGTCTTCAGGTGGATCTGATGGAGGTTTCCAGTCTCCTCTGGTTTCTCTCTGGATCCGGCGGGCTTCCTGTCAACAACACGAGAGGTTCTGACGTTTGATCGGTCGGCAGAGGACCAATCACATGACTGAAGATGAACGGAAAGAATTTGGACATATTAGTTATTTACGGACAGAGTGAAATCCCCTTCACAGGAGTTACTCTGAGAAGAGGGTCCAGCTGGATCATCTGAGATGTAAAAGTCTACGAGGGAGAGAAGACTCCGGGGACAGAGGAGACGGCGTGGGGTTAATGATGAGGGTACACAGTGTTGTTGACCAAACTAAGTTCTTGGAGAACTCCCGAAGGCTCAGGACTTTGGTTGCAGACGTGACTTAACGGAGGACAGAAAGATGGACAGCCAGTCCAATCTACTTCTTGCTGAGAGTGGAAACAGGACGCGGCGTAATCAGACAGTCGACTGAGGATCGGCTGATAGAGACGTTTGTTAGAGGAAGTTTTGGTCTTTGCTGGACTTCCTCGCTCGAGGGCGGGCGGCTTACGGATTAATGGAAGATGCTTGTGTGCAGAGGATGAAATAACTCCCACAGGACTAAAAGACTTTGAATGCTCCTGGAAACTAAAAACACCCGGAGGAACAAAAGAGTCCTCGATGACCGCAGGAGTCATTCAGTCTGTCCTGGATCGGATCACTCTTTATCGCTTGCTAACGGGTTCTTGTCAGTCTGAACCCGATTTGAAAGGGTTCTTTTCTGGATCAGACCTTTCCTCTGACTCTGAAGATCCTCTCGCTGCCATGTTGAACCCTGAAACACACCTTTGTCCTCCGTGGCGCCGCCTCGATGGTGCCTCCTCCTCCTCCTCCTCCTCCTCCTCCTTGTTGGATTACACCTGTGTTCATGACGATGAATGAGGACAGGAACGTGTTCGGTTCCTCTTCAAATCCAAGAACTGAGAGCAGATAATGGATTCTGAGGAACTGTGAGTATCACCTTATTGTGACGTGCAAAGAGTTATATGGATTATTCCAGGGTTTCAAACCAGCTCAGTGTTGAGGGTGTTGGTGTTCAGGGGACGGAGAGCAGTCCATAAATCCAGCTTGAATCAGGACGGAGGGTTTAAAGGGACCTCAGTCAGGGAGCAGAGGGGGTGTTCACTTTAATGATGGCTTGTAAACTGACAGGAATCCTCTCATCTGAAACTGGAATTGCACCTTCATGCACTCTCAGAGGAAGGGTCCGCGCTCTTCATCGGTCCCTGAGGTCTCTTCCTGGTCGAGGCTGTTTAATACATTACCTCATTAACCCTCTCACAGGAAACAGAAAGACAGATAGTCTCTCTGTGCGCATCGTTCAGCAGGAAGTACTCAAGCTGGCCATCACTGTGGAGTTATAGGCTCATAATGAGCGGCGTTATCAACTAGGCTGCTTCACAAAACATACACGAACCCCCTGAGAACCCTTGAAATGTCCAAACAGGTTTCTGATGTAATCCCGTTTCTTTGAGGATCTTTTAGCAGCTTTCTCAAATCCAGAGTGTGTGTGCTTGTGTGTCTTGAACCATCACACACACACACACACACACACACACACACACACACACACACACACACACACACACACACACACACACACACACACACACACACACACACACACACACACACACACACACACACACACACACACACAGGTAATGTCTCATATGGTCCTTTCTGTCTTCCGGTCTGACTCTTGTCTTGTTAACCCTTCAGGGCGGCTCAGAGGCTCAGTCTGTCCCGCAGGAGGAGGTCCCCCCCCCCGCTGGCCCCCACCCCCCCCATCGAGTCCCAGGGGCCCCTGCTGTACACCGGGGGCTTCAGCGTGGCCCTGCAGCTCTCACCCCCCCCCCATCCCACCAGGCCTCCTGCGGGCTGGCAGCAGCAAGGTCAAAGACACGCCGGGGATGGGGAAGGTAAGACGCCATGGTGGTACCCAGAATGCACTGCAGGGGGTTAGGGGTTGGGGGGGGGGGTCACAGGTCGTCTGGAGGAAGCAGCTGATGGGGGACATGTCGTCAACCACGCCCACTTCATTAGCCTAGCTCTCCGACTGCATCATGGACGTTTAAAGAGAATGTTAAATACATTAATAAAGAAATATTTAAATAATAATAACTAAAGAGAATAGCCATGTTGACAATACTGATGTATTCTTAGATCCAGGGTGAACTAATGTTAGAACAATAATGAACCCTCACTCGCTCTGTCCTTCTGTCAGATTAAAAGCACTGTTTTCAGCTGTGAAGAAGATTCTGTATGAAGCGACTGGAGCGTCAGATAAAAACCTGGCGACGCTCTGACGCTCCGACGCTCCGACGCCCCGACGCTCCGACGCTCCGACGCTCCGACGCTCCGACGCTCCGACGCTTCGACGCCCCGACACTCAGACGCTCCGACGCCCCGACGCTCCGACGCCCCGACGCTCCGACGCCCCGACGCTCAGACGCTCCGACGCTCCGACGCTCCGACGCTCCGACGCCCCGACGCTCCGATGCTCCGACGCTGAGTCAGGCTTTCGTCATGAGGAAATGGGCGTGGTTAGATATGAACTGGGTTAGAAAGCGAGACTCAGGATGATCCGAGACGGAGATGCGTGTCCTCCGTACTGACAGAGGTGTGCTGCAGGAGAGCAATATGTTCCTCAGTCAGGCCTTCATCAGCTCTCTGTTGGGGTTAACTCGACGTATGAAAAGGACATCTGGAAAACATTTGTAAAAGTGCTCGGTGACGTCAGGATCTTAAAGAGGGCCACTCGTTGAAGCAGGTTCAGCGTGTTGGCTAATATAAAGAGTTTTCTAATGCAGGGTGTGCAGATGCAAACCAAAGCCACATTCCTTCTAACAGCAGGCAAAGGGTGGGGGGCCACACTTATTTCATCCAGATTTTGTATTTCTTGTTCCACATCGTCGCTGACAGAGCTGCTGAGTCAGCAGAGGTCAAGTTTAGAGCCAATAACGATCAGGGACGATCAGCGACGCAGCACTTTGTAAATGATGTGTCTCGGCGGGCCAGCAGAGCGCATCGTGAGGGAGAAGGAGACACTGCACAGCGGCCACTCAATGATTTATATCCAGAGATTCATCCGAGCTGAGAGAATATTCATATTTAGATCTGTTCATATCGAGGGAGAAAGGAAATACCATAGGGGCCATGGTTGTAGTAGTATATATATATAGTGTGAATGTAATAGGGTTATACCATGTAGTCGTAAAAGACAATAAAGGGATTATTGTGGTCGTTAATGTTAACAAAAAGTTGTGTGTAAAACACAATGCCTCCCCATGTTTGTACGCATACAAGAACAACTTCAGAATAATATGATTTGGAAAATGAATTCAGGATCTTGACATGCTAAGATCAAAATGGTAGTTTTGAGTCCCTTAAAATTGTATAATCGACCCAAAATGTATCAAAATCAGTTTACAGAGAGTACAGATATGGACTCTTTCTGCTTCATACCATTATTGATCCTGAACATTTCAGAAATGGACTCCTCAATAACCCCCACAACCTACATCCAAAACCCTGACAGCTGTCTCTTTCTGTCCCTTTCTGTCCCTTTCTGTCCCTTTCTGTCCCTCTCTGTCCCGCTCTGTCCCTTTATGTCCTTTTCTGTCCCTCTCTGTCCCTTTCTGTCTCTTTCTGTCCCTCTCTGTCCCTCTCTGTCCCTTTCTGTCCTTTTCTGTCCCTTTCTGTCCCTCTCTGTCCCTCTCTGTCCCTCTCTGTCTCTCTCTGTCCCTCTCTGTCCCTTTCTGTCCTTTTCTGTCCCTTTCTGTCCCTCTCTGTCCCTCTCTGTCCTTTTCTGTCCCTTTATGTCCTTTTCTGTCCCTTTATGTCCTTTTCTGTCCCTCTCTGTCCCTCTCTGTCCCTTTCTGTCCCTCTCTGTCCCTCTCTGTCCTTTTCTGTCCCTTTATGTCCTTTTCTGTCCCTTTATGTCCTTTTCTGTCCCTCTCTGTCCCTCTCTGTCCCTCTCTGTCTCTCTCTGTCCCTCTCTGTCTCTCTCTGTCCCTTTATGTCCTTTTCTGTCCCTCTCTGTCCCTCTCTGTCCCTCTCTGTCCCTCTCTGTCCCTCTCTGTCCCTTTATGTCCTTTTCTGTCCCTCTCTGTCCTTCTCTGTCTCTCTCTGTCCCTCTCTGTCCCTCTCTGTCTCTCTCTGTCCCTCTCTGTCTCTCTCTGTCTCTCTCTGTCCCTCTCTGTCCCTCTCTGTCTCTCTCTGTCCCTCTCTATCTCTCTCTGTCCCTCTCTGTCTCTCTCTGTCCCTCTCTGTCTCTCTCTGTCCCTCTCTGTCCCTCTCTGTCTCTCTCTGTCCCTCTCTGTCCCTCTCTGTCTCTCTCTGTCCCTCTCTATCTCTCTCTGTCCCTCTCTGTCTCTCTCTGTCCCTCTCTGTCTCTCTCTGTCCCTCTCTGTCCCTCTCTGTCTCTCTCTGTCCCTCTCTATCTCTCTCTGTCCCTCTCTGTCTCTCTCTGTCCCTCTCTGTCTCTCTCTGTCCCTCTCTGTCCCTCTCTGTCTCTCTCTGTCCCTCTCTGTCCCTTTCTGTCCCTTTCTGTCCTTTTCTGTCCCTTTCTGTCCCTCTCTGTCCCTCTCTGTCCCTCTCTGTCCCTTTATGTCCTTTTCTGTCCCTCTCTGTCCCTCTCTGTCCCTCTCTGTCCCTCTCTGTCTCTCTCTGTCCCTCACTGTCTCTCTCTGTCCCTTTCTGTCCCTCTCTGTCCCTGTCTGTCCCTCTCTGTCCCTTTCTGTCCTTTTCTGTCCCTTTCTGTCTCTCTCTGTCCTTTTCTGTCCCTTTATGTCCTTTTCTGTCCCTTTATGTCCTTTTCTGTCCCTCTCTGTCCCCCTCTGTCCCTCTCTGTCCCTCTCTGTCCCTTTATGTCCTTTCTGTCCCTCTCTGTCCCTCTCTGTCCCTCTCTGTCTCTCTCTGTCCCTCTCTGTCCCTCTCTGTCTCTCTCTGTCCCTCTCTGTCCCTTTCTGTCCTTTTCTGTCCCTTTCTGTCCCTCTCTGTCCCTCTCTGTCCCTCTCTGTCTCTCTCTGTCCCTCTCTGTCCCTTTCTGTCCCTTTCTGTCCTTTTCTGTCCCTTTCTGTCCCTTTCTGTCCCTCTCTGTCCCTCTCTGTCCCTCTCTGTCCCTTTATGTCCTTTTCTGTCCCTCTCTGTCCCTCTCTGTCCCTCTCTGTCTCTCTCTGTCCCTCTCTGTCCCTTTCTGTCCTTTTCTGTCCCTTTCTGTCCCTCTCTGTCCTTTTCTGTCCCTTTATGTCCTTTTCTGTCCCTTTATGTCCTTTTCTGTCCCTCTCTGTCCCTCTCTGTCCCTCTCTGTCCCTTTATGTCCTTTTCTGTCCCTCTCTGTCCCTCTCTGTCCCTCTCTGTCCCTCTCTGTCCCTCTCTGTCCCCCTCTGTACCTCTCTGTCCCTCTCTGTCCCTCTCTGTCTCTCTCTGTCTCTCTCTGTCCCTCTCTGTCCCCCTCTGTACCTCTCTGTCCCTCTCTGTCCCCCTCTGTACCTCTCTGTCTCTCTCTGTCCCTCTCTGTCCCCCTCTGTACCTCTATGTCCCTCTCTGTCCCTTTCTGTCTCTCTCTGTCTCTCTCTGTCCCTCTCTGTCCCTCTCTGTCCCTCTCTGTCTCTCTCTGTCCCTCTCTGTCTCTCTCTGTCCCTCTCTGTCCCTCTCTGTCCCTTTCTGTCTCTCTCTGTCTCTCTCTGTCCCTCTCTGTCTCTCTCTGTCCCTTTATGTCCTTTTCTGTCCCTCTCTGTCCCTCTCTGTCCCTCTCTGTCCCTTTATGTCCTTTTCTGTCCCTCTCTGTCCCTCTCTGTCCCTCTCTGTCCCTCTCTGTCCCCCTCTGTACCTCTCTGTCCCTCTCTGTCCCTCTCTGTCTCTCTCTGTCTCTCTCTGTCCCTCTCTGTCCCCCTCTGTACCTCTCTGTCCCCCTCTGTACCTCTCTGTCTCTCTCTGTCCCCCTCTGTACCTCTCTGTCCCTCTCTGTCCCTTTCTGTCTCTCTCTGTCTCTCTCTGTCCCTCTCTGTCCCTCTCTGTCCCTCTCTGTCTCTCTCTGTCCCTCTCTGTCTCTCTCTGTCCCTCTCTGTCCCTCTCTGTCCCCTTTCTGTCTCTCTCTGTCTCTCTCTGTCCCTCTCTGTCCCTTTCTGTCCTTTTCTGTCCCTTTCTGTCCCTCTCTGTCCTTTTCTGTCCCTTTATGTCCTTTTCTGTCCCTTTATGTCCTTTTCTGTCCCTCTCTGTCCCTCTCTGTCCCTCTCTGTCCCTTTATGTCCTTTTCTGTCCCTCTCTGTCCCTCTCTGTCCCTCTCTGTCCCTCTCTGTCCCTCTCTGTCCCCCTCTGTACCTCTCTGTCCCTCTCTGTCCCTCTCTGTCTCTCTCTGTCTCTCTCTGTCCCTCTCTGTCCCCCTCTGTACCTCTCTGTCCCTCTCTGTCCCCCTCTGTACCTCTCTGTCTCTCTCTGTCCCTCTCTGTCCCCCTCTGTACCTCTCTGTCCCTCTCTGTCCCTTTCTGTCTCTCTCTGTCTCTCTCTGTCCCTCTCTGTCCCTCTCTGTCCCTCTCTGTCTCTCTCTGTCCCTCTCTGTCTCTCTCTGTCCCTCTCTGTCCCTCTCTGTCCCTTTCTGTCTCTCTCTGTCTCTCTCTGTCTCTCTCTGTCTCTTTCTGTCTCTCTCTGTCTCTCTCTGTCCCTCTCTGTCTCTCTCTGTCCCTCTCTGTCCCTCTCTGTCCCCCTCTGTCCCTCTCTGTCCCTCTCTGTCTCTCTCTGTCCCTCTCTGTCCCTCTCTGTCCCTCAGGTCCGGGTCATGGTCCGGGTGTGCTCGGCCCTCAGCGAGTCGATGGACTCCATGTCTCTGCTGAAGCTGGACGGCAGGAAGAAGCTGCTGACGCTCAGCGAGGCGTCGGCCGGACCGAGGAGACCCGCCGCTCCCAAGACCTTCACCTTCCACAACATCTTCTCCCAGGATGCATCACAGGTGAGGCGGACACTTTGTTATCATCATGTCTGTATTCACTTCTTCTCATTTAAATATGAGATTGTGACGAGTTTGATTTCTTAGTGTAAACTTTCAAAAAGGCAGACCACATGTTCGGTTGTCTTCAAGGATTAACATACCTTGATCTAACTAATAACGCAACGTGTTACAATGAGTTATTGTTGGGTCGTTGTGTGGGGCTATGGATGTGCTGTTCTCTCTCCTGATTGGTGGATTCTAACCTGATCTGTGTCCTGATAGGCCGAGGTGTGTTCGGGGGCGGTGACTGAGGTTATCCAGGCGGTGGTGAACGGAGCAGACGGCTGCGTCTTCAGCTTCGGACACGCTAACCTGGGTACACACACACACACACACACACACACACACACACACACACACACACACACACACACACACACACACACACACGCTAACCTGGGTACACACACACACACACACACACGCTAACCTGGGTACACACACACACACAAACACACACACACACACACGCGCGCTAACCTGGGTACAAACACACACACACAAACACACACACACACACACGCACGCTAACCTGGGTACACACACACACACTCACACACACACACACACATCCACCACCAGTTGGGTATTTACTGAAGTTTTTTATGTCGTAGAACAAAATGTTAAAATCTGAAAATGATTGACCCCCTGCCCCCATTGTTGAGGAGGAGGTCCGGACCACTGGCCCAGACCGAGATTTCCTCAAACTCCATGACTCGTTCCTGCATTGGAGCTAGATATGAATACATTGCTGTTGTCATGATTTTAGTTTTGTGTGTATTTTGAAACTCTGTTGTCCCTGTGTCTGGACTTGCCTTCCTTCCTGTGTTTCACCTCCCCTCTCACGCTATGATGGACCCCGCCCCCCAGGTAAGACGTACACTATGATTGGTCGGGACTGCTCCACCCAGAGTCTGGGCGTCGCCCCCACAGCCATCTCCTGGCTCTTCAAGGTGATGGAGGACCGGAGGGAGAAGTCCGGCGCTGGCTTCTCCGTCAGGGCGTCGGCCGTGGAGATCTCCGGCCGCGAGGAGGCGCTCACCGACCTCCTGGCTGACCAGCAGGGGGCGCTCACCCACCTCCTGGCTGACCTCGCCTGCTCCTCAGCGGGGGGCCAGCAGGGGGCCGTGACGCTGAGAGAAGACCCCCTCTGTGGATCCCAGGTACGGAGGAACACTCCTTCTTCCTCTTCAGTTATTATTACAATAATTAGCATGGTGTTTCACTGTACAGTATTTCACATTCTGCTCTTGCTGTTGGCGACTCTATGCCCGCTCAGTGGAGTCGCCAAGAGGCTAGACTTCGCTTTAGGCTGTGACTCGTTTTCAACTAGAAAGTCCATACTGAAGTTGAAGGGTTGAGTGCAGCGAGGCGGTCATCACTGAAAGAAGAACATCAGGATTCAAGATTCAAGGCTTTTATTGTCATGTGCTCAGAGCTACAGTGTAGATATGAACATCTGAGGTCACAGGCTCCTCCCACATAGCTACAGTGAACATCTGAGGTCACAGGCTCCTCCCACATAGCTACAGTGAACATCTGAGGTCACAGGCTCCTCCCACAGAACACAATAAAACAGATGAAATAGTGCAAGTAGTACAAATAAAATAGAATATAATGGAAATAGTGCAAGTAGTACAAATAAAATAGTGCAAGAATAGTTTCTATACAAGTAATTGGAATATTGATATATATAATTTGCAAACAGACTAATGTTTATGGATGTTCTTCACAAGGTTCAAGTGTTTAATAGTCTTATGGCCTGTGGGATGAAACTGTCTCTGAGTCTGGTAGTTTTAGACCTGAAACTGTCTCTGAGTCTGGTGTTTTTAGACCTGAAACTGTCCCTGAGTCTGGTGGTTTTACTCCTGAAACTGTCCCTGAGTCTGGTGGTTTTACTCCTGAAACTGTCCCTGAGTCTGGTGGTTTTAGTCCTGAGTCTGGTGGTTTTAGTCCTGAGTCTGGTGGTTTTACTCCTGAAACTGTCCCTGAGTCTGGTGGTTTTAGTCCTGAGTCTGGTGGTTTTAGTCCTGAGTCTGGTGTTTTTAGACCTGAGTCTGGTGGTTTTAGTTCTGAGTCTGGTGGTTTTAGTCCTGAAACTGTCCCTGAGTCTGGTGGTTTTAGTCCTGAGTCTGGTGGTTTCACTCCTGAAACTGTCCCTGAGTCTGGTGGTTTTAGTCCTGAGTCTGGTGGTTTTAGACCTGAAACTGTCCATGAGTCTGGTGGTTTTAGTCCTGAGTCTGGTGGTTTTAGACCTGAAACTGTCCCTGAGTCTGGTGGCTTTAGTCCTGAAACTGTCCCTGAGTCTGGTGGTTTTAGTCCTGAGTCTGGTGGTTTTAGTCCTGAGTCTGGTGTTTTTAGACCTGAAACTGTCTCTGAGTCTGGTGGTTTTATTCCTGAAACTGTCCCTGAGTCTGGTGGTTTTAGTCCTGAGTCTGGTGGTTTTAGTCCTGAGTCTGGTGGTTTTAGTCCTGAAACTGTCCCTGAGTCTGGTGGTTTTAGTCCTGAGTCTGGTGGTTTTACTCCTGAAACTGTCCATGAGTCTGGTGGTTTTAGTCCTGAGTCTGGTGGTTTTAGACCTGAAACTGTCCCTGAGTCTGGTGGCTTTAGTCCTGAAACTGTCCCTGAGTCTGGTGGTTTTAGTCCTGAAACTGTCCCTGAGTCTGGTGGTTTTAGTCCTGAAACTGTTCCTGAGTTTGGTGGTTTTAGTCCTGAAACTGTCCCTGAGTCTGGTGGTTTTAGTCCTGAAACTGTCCCTGAGTCTGGTGGTTTTAGTCCTGAAACTGTTCCTGAGTTTGGTGGTTTTACTCCTGAAACTGTCCATGAGTCTGGTGGTTTTAGTCCTGAGTCTGGTGGTTTTAGACCTGAAACTGTCCCTGAGTCTGGTGGCTTTAGTCCTGAAACTGTCCCTGAGTCTGGTGGTTTTAGTCCTGAAACTGTCCCTGAGTCTGGTGGTTTTAGTCCTGAAACTATTCCTGAGTTTGGTGGTTTTAGACCTGAAACTGTCCCTGAGTCTGCCGGCTTTAGTCCTGAGTCTGGTGGTTTTACTCCTGAAACTGTCCCTGAGTCTGGTGGTTTTAGTCCTGAGTCTGGTGGTTTTAGTCCTGAAACTGTCCCTGAGTCTGGTGGTTTTAGTCCTGAAACTGTCCCTGAGTCTGGTGGTTTTAGTCCTGAAACTGTCCCTGAGTCTGGTGGTTTTAGTCCTGAAACTGTCCCTGAGTCTGGTGGTTTTACTCCTGAAACTGTCCCTGAGTCTGGTGGTTTTAGTCCTGAAACTGTCCCTTAGTCTGGTGGTTTTAGACCTGAAACTGTCCCTGAGTCTGCTGGTTTTAGTCCTGAAACTGTCCCTGAGTCTGGTGGTTTTAGTCCTGAGTCTGGTGGTTTTAGTCCTGAAACTGTCCCTGAGTCTGGTGGTTTTAGTCCTGAAACTGTCCCTGAGTCTGGTGGCTTTAGTCCTGAAACTGTCCCTGAGTCTGGTGGTTTTACTCCTGAAACTGTCCCTGAGTCTGGTGGTTTTAGTCCTGAAACTGTCCCTTAGTCTGGTGGTTTTAGACCTGAAACTGTCCCTGAGTCTGCTGGTTTTAGTCCTGAAACTGTCTCTGAGTCTGGTGGTTTTAGACCTGAAACTGTCCCTGAGTCTGGTGGTTTTAGACCTGAAACTGTCCCTGAGTCTGGTGGTTTTAGTCCTGAAACTGTCCCTGAGTCTGGTGGTTTTAGACCTGAAACTGTCCCTGAGTCTGGTGGTTTTAGTCCTGAAACTGTCCCTGAGTCTGGTGGTTTTAGTCCTGAAACTGTCCCTGAGTCTGGTGGTTTTAGTCCTGAAACTGTCCCTGAGTCTGCTGGTTTTAGACCTGAAACTGTTCCTGAGTCTGGTGGTTTTAGACCTGAAACTGTTCCTGAGTCTGCTGGTTTTAGACCTGAAACTGTTCCTGAGTCTGGTGGTTTTAGACCTGAAACTGTCTCTGAGTCTGGTGGTTTTAGACCTGAAACTGTTCCTGAGTCTGGTGGTTTTAGTCCTGAGTCTGGTGGTTTTAGACCTGAAACTGTTCCTGAGTCTGGTGGTTTTAGTCCTGATGCTGCGGTACCGCCTGCAGGACGGCAGCAGACAGAACAGTTGTTAATAACCCATGTCACAGTCTGCTCTGCGTCTCAATGCCCGCTCAGTGGAGTCGCCAAGAGGCTAGACTTGGCTTTAGACTGCGAGCCCGTGGCGTGAGCCCAGGTGACAATTGGTGGAAGTCCTCAACAAATTCAACGGATTGAACTCATGCAGGAAACATTTCAGGTCACTTGATGAGTTCCCTCACCTCCTCCTCCTCCTCCTCCTCACCTCCTCCTCCTCTCCTCCTGGGTCTTCCTCTCCTCCAATTAGTGCTGACGGTTTTATCTCCCAGAGCTCCTTCTGTCTGTCACTTTCTCCTCTCACTTTCATTTCTTTCTACATATTTCTCTCCCTCAGACCTCATTCTGTCCCCTCAGTAATATCAATGAGAAACTGGCTTAGTCTTTTCTCTCCAGATGAGACGTCTTCGTGACCTCAGGATGACCTTTCAGTCATGATTTCTGCTCTCATTGTGAACGCATTGCTTTTCACCCTCTGTCTGAAACCAGAGCCCAGTCTGCTCTGATTGGTTAGCTGGCCGGCTCTGTTGTGATTGGTCAACAACTTGGAGATGTCCCGCCCCTTAGCCTATCACGTATAATGTGTAGGAGCGCTAGCCGATAGCAGAGTGTGATGTCACTCGGTCCTCTCAGTACTTCTGACTCATTGTGCAGTCACAGTATTTATTTATCCTCTTCTTCTACGATATGCTTCCTAACATGTCTGTTTCGACCGCCTGTCTCTCCACCAGCTGCAGAACCAGACGGAGTTGCGGGCGACCAATGCGGAGCAAGCAGCGTTTCTATTGGACGTGGCGGTGGCAGCGAGGAGGAGCAGCCGGTCCCCATTGGACCAGGAGGCCCGGAGGAACTCCCACTTCCTGTTTACTCTGCACCTCAGCCAGGAGCGGAAGGACAACAAGGCAGCAAGTCAGTGCACCATCAGCCAATCAAATATCAGACTGTCTTCCCCTGATGTAGCCCCGCCCCTTTCCCCACCTCCCGTTCAAACACTTACTTCTTAGTTCTTCTGGTTTAGCTCGAGATAAACAGTTAGTTTTATCAGAGATGATTCCCAGCTGAGGTGATGGGATGTTTCACAGGAGGACATGACAGTAACATCTGATATGAGGACATGAGGACATGACAGTAACATCTGATATGAGGACATGAGGACATGAGGACATGACAGTAGCATCTGATATGAGGACATGACAGTAACATCTGATGTGAGGACATGACAGTAACATCTGATATGAGGACATGAGGACATGACAGTAACATCTGATATGAGGACATGAGGACATGACAGTAACATCTGATATGAGGACATGAGGACATGACAGTAACATCTGATATGAGGACATGACAGTAACATCTGATGTGAGGACATGACAGTAACATCTGATATGAGGACATGACAGTAACATCTGATATGAGGACATGAGGACATGACAGTAACCTCTGATATGAGGACATGACAGTAACATCTGATGTGAGGACATGACAGTAACATCTGATATGAGGACATGAGGACATGACAGTAACATCTGATGTGAGGACATGAGGACATGACAGTAACATCTGATATGAGGACATGACAGTAACATCTGATATGAGGACATGAGGACATGACAGTAACATCTGATGTGAGGACATGACAGTAACATCTGATATGAGGACATGAGGACATGACAGTAGCATCTGATGTGAGGACATGACAGTAACATCTGATGTGAGGACATGACAGTAACATCTGATAGGAGGACATGACAGTAACATCTGATGTGAGGACATGACAGTAACATCTGATATGAGGACATGACAGTAACATCTGATATGAGGACATGACAGTAACATCTGATATGAGGACATGAGGACATGACAAGTACCTCTGATATGAGGACATGACAGTAACATCTGATGTGAGGACATGACAGTAACATCTGATATGAGGACATGACAGTAACATCTGATATGAGGACATGACAGTAACATCTGATATGAGGACATGACAGTAACATCTGATATGAGGACATGACAGTAACATCTGATAGGAGGACATGACAGTAACATCTGATGTGAGGACATGACAGTAACATCTGATATGAGGACATGACAGTAACATCTGATATGAGGACATGACAGTAACATCTGATATGAGGACATGAGGACATGACAGTAACCTCTGATATGAGGACATGACAGTAACATCTGATGTGAGGACATGACAGTAACATCTGATATGAGGACATGACAGTAACATCTGATATGAGGACATGACAGTAACATCTGATATGAGGACATGACAGTAACATCTGATATGAGGACATGAACAGTAACATCTGATAGGAGGACATGACAGTAACATCTGATGTGAGGACATGACAGTAACATCTGATATGAGGACATGACAGTAACATCTGATATGAGGACATGACAGTAACATCTGATATGAGGACATGAGGACATGACAGTAACCTCTGATATGAGGACATGACAGTAACATCTGATGTGAGACATGACAGTAACATCTGATATGAGGACATGACAGTAACATCTGATATGAGGACATGACAGTAACATCTGATATGAGGACATGACAGTAACATCTGATATGAGGACATGACAGTAACATCTGATAGGAGGACATGACAGTAACATCTGATGTGAGGACATGACAGTAACATCTGATATGAGGACATGACAGTAACATCTGATATGAGGACATGAGGACATGACAGTAACCTCTGATATGAGGACATGACAGTAACATCTGATGTGAGGACATGACAGTAACATCTGATAGGAGGACATGACAGTAACATCTGATGTGAGGACATGACAGTAACATCTGATATGAGGACATGACAGTAACATCTGATATGAGGACATGACAGTAACATCTGATATGAGGACATGAGGACATGACAGTAACCTCTGATATGAGGACATGACAGTAACATCTGATGTGAGGACATGACAGTAACATCTGATATGAGGACATGAGGACATGACAGTAACATCTGATGTGAGGACATGACAGTAACATCTGATATGAGGACATGACAGTAACATCTGATATGAGGACATGACAGTAACATCTGATATGAGGACATGACAGTAACATCTGATATGAGGACATGACAGTAACATCTGATATGAGGACATGAGGACATGACAGTAACCTCTGATATGAGGACATGACAGTAACATCTGATGTGAGGACATGACAGTAACATCTGATATGAGGACATGAGGACATGACAGTAACATCTGATGTGAGGACATGACAGTAACATCTGATATGAGGACATGAGGACATGACAGTAACATCTGATATGAGGACATGAGGACATGACAGTAGCATCTGATATGAGGACTCTGATAGGACCTGACAGTAACATCTGATATGAGGACATGACAGTAACATCTGATATGAGGACATGAGGACATGACAGTAACATCTGATATGAGGAACATGAGGACATGACAGTACATCTGATATGAGGACATGACAGTAACATCGATATGAGGACATGAGGACATGACAGTAACATCTGATATGAGGACATGAGGCATGACAGTAACATCTGATATGAGGACATGAGGACATGACAGTAACAGCTGATATGAGGACATGAGGACATGACATGTAACATCTGATATGAGGACATGAGGACATGAACAGTAACATCTGATATGATAGGAGGACATGGACAGTAACATCTGATATGAGGACATGAGGACATGACAAGTAACATCTGATATGAGGACTGACAGTACAACTGAATATGATGACCATGACAAGTAACATCTGATATGAGGAACAATGAGGACATGACAGTGAACATCTGAATATGAGGAACATGAGTGACATGACAGTAACATCTGATATGAGGACATGACAGTAACATCTGATATGAGGACATGACAGTACATCTGATATGAGGACATGAGGACATGACATACATCTGATATGAGGACATGAGGACATGACAGTAACATCTGATATGAGGAACATGACAGTAACATCTGATATGAGGACATGACAGTAACATCTGATATGAGGACATGAGGACATGACAGTAACATCTGATATGAGGACATGAGGACATGACAGTAGCATCTGATATGAGGACATGAGGACATGACAGTAACATCTGATGTGAGGACATGACAGTAACATCTGATATGAGGACATGACAGTAACATCTGATATGAGGACATGACAGTAACATCTGATATGAGGACATGACAGTAACATCTGATATGAGGACATGACAGTAACATCTGATATGAGGACATGACAGTAACATCTGATATGAGGACATGAGGACATGACAGTAACCTCTGATATGAGGACATGACAGTAACATCTGATGTGAGGACATGACAGTAACATCTGATATGAGGACATGAGGACATGACAGTAACATCTGATGTGAGGACATGACAGTAACATCTGATATGAGGACATGAGGACATGACAGTAACATCTGATATGAGGACATGAGGACATGACAGTAACATCTGATATGAGGACATGACAGTAACATCTGATATGAGGACATGACAGTAACATCTGATATGAGGACATGAGGACATGACAGTAACATCTGATATGAGGACATGAGGACATGACAGTAACATCTGATATGAGGACATGAGGACATGACAGTAACATCTGATATGAGGACATGAGGACATGACAGTAACATCTGATATGAGGACATGAGGACATGACAGTAACATCTGATATGAGGACATGACAGTAACATCTGATATGAGGACATGACAGTAACATCTGATATGAGGACATGAGGACATGACAGTAACATCTGATATGAGGACATGAGGACTGACAGTAACATCTGATATGAGGACATGACAGGTAACATCTGATATGAGGACATGACAGTAACATCTGATATGAGGACATGAGGACATGACAGTAACATCTGATATGAGGACATGAGGACATGACAGTAGCATCTGATATGAGGACATGAGGACATGACAGTAACATCTGATGTGAGGACATGACAGTAACATCTGATATGAGGACATGACAGTAACATCTGATATGAGGACATGACAGTAACATCTGATATGAGGACATGACAGTAACATCTGATATGAGGACATGACAGTAACATCTGATATGAGGACATGACAGTAACATCTGATATGAGGACATGAGGACATGACAGTAACCTCTGATATGAGGACAGTGACAGTAACATCTGATGTGAGGACATGACAGTAACATCTGATATGAGGACATGAGGAACATGACAGTAACATCTGATTGTGAGGACCATGACAGTAACATCTGATATGAGGACATGAGGACATGACAGTAACATCTGATATGAGGACATGACAGTAACATCTGATATGAGGACATGACAGTAACATCTGATATGAGGACATGACAGTAACATCTGATATGAGGACATGAGGACATGACAGTAACATCTGATATGAGGACATGAGGACATGACAGTAACATCTGATATGAGGACATGACAGTAACATCTGATATGAGGACATGAGGACATGACAGTAACATCTGATATGAGGACATGAGGACATGACAGTAACATCTGATATGAGGACATGAGGACATGACAGTAACATCTGATATGAGGACATGAGGACATGACAGTAACATCTGATATGAGGACATGACAGTAACATCTGATATGAGGACATGACAGTAACATCTGATATGAGGACATGAGGACATGACAGTAACATCTGATATGAGGACATGAGGACATGACAGTAACATCTGATATGAGGACATGAGGACATGACAGTAACATCTGATATGAGGACATGAGGACATGACAGTAACATCTGATATGAGGACATGAGGACATGACAGTAACATCTGATATGAGGACATGACAGTAACATCTGATATGAGGACATGACAGTAACATCTGATATGAGGACATGAGGACATGACAGTAACATCTGATATGAGGACATGAGGACATGACAGTAGCATCTGATATGAGGACATGACAGTAACATCTGATATGAGGACATGACAGTAACATCTGATATGAGGACATGACAGTAACATCTGATATGAGGACATGAGGACATGACAGTAACATCTGATATGAGGACATGTTTAATAACTCTCTAGAGTCTTGTGGTGAAGATGCTCTGCTGAGGAGCTACGAGAAGAACCAGAACATATGAGACTGCAGAGTAAAGATCATGTTTATAATAACTCTCACTGACAGAAGACAAAGGTTTTCAGGACAAAGTCAACATTTGGAGAGAAAAGTCAGACAGGAGGAAACGGCAGGTTGTAAACTCTGTGAGTGCTGCAGCCCCCTCCTCTGATGTTCATCTCCGACATGTAGCTGCTAATGAGCTTCACTCAGAGCGGCCGACTTGCTTAACAAGAGCATTAACGAGCAGCGCTAACGTAATCAAATCAACGTAACACTGTAATATTACAGATCAACAACACAGAAACCATTCTCTTTTATTTACATTTTATAATTTTTTAGATAATTAAAATCGATTTGTTGTTTGTTTTATCTGAGTGTTATCCTCTGAATGCCTTGAAGGCCCTGACGGTTCCCCACTAGTGTTTATGCTCTAAATTGGACCACAGTTATGATCTGTTGAAGAACACTGGAAACTAGAGAAACCGAAACTCATCAGTGTTTAGAGGGAACAAGCACACGACCACAAAAGAATGAGTTGGGTCCTGACGTGTTCCTCCACTTTGGACATTGAGTGGAAACGTGTTGATCTTGACTCGGACTCAATCGCTGCTTCATCATCTGCTTTGCTCTTAATGGGACCATACTCCCCCCCCCCCACTTCATGACTCAAATTCACACAATTCTTTTTTATACGTTTTCTGACATGTTGTGTTTATATATGCTAACGAGGCTAATGCTAATTGTTGGTTTAATTAGGAGAACTCTGCAGACACAGTTAGTATCTTAAACTCCTGGATAAACTGGAGGTGTTTCTGTCCCGCCCCTCTGTGTCTCTCTCGCTGCTATACAACATGTGCAATAACGGATCTGCCACTACGTTTATTGCACTACTAAATACTGTTAATATTCACATTAATGATGTGACTGTCTGTGTTTCCTGTAGATATTTAATTGCTCTTTTTACTGCACTGTTAGAGTACAGTTGTATTATTATGCTGCTGTGTTTATTGTATTTTTGTAGCTCAGGCACAACAATTTCCTTTGGGTTACATAACGTGTTCTCTCATCTCAGTGTGTGGCGGGAGTCGTCTCCACCTGCTGGATTTGGGGAGCTGTGAGACGGACATCAGCCGGACGAGGGAGGGGGGGGGAGGTCAGTGCCTCTCTCTGTCGGCGCTGGGGAACGTCGTCCTCGCTCTCGCCAACGGGGCCAAACACGTCCCCTACAGGTACAGCTCGCCTCCCAATGGACCCTACGGGGGTCAGAGGTCGTTCCTTTTTTTTTACAGGATGAGTGAGGGTACAAATATTACGACACCAAGAAATGAATTGGCAACAACATTTGACTTAAATTAGAGAGTACCAATTAATACTTCATCCCCACTTTCAAAACAAACAATCACTGACCAAACCTCCCCGCACATGCCTCCCTTCCCTACTCTGCTGCTGCCCCCCCCCTGGCATATGTCTCCTAGTATTAGTTGCATAAGATGCCATAACTTTACACAACAACCACAAAAATAACATCGACTAGAACAAGCTGTCAGCACCTCATATCCTTTCATTATGACCACACCTTCCTGATGGGTTTAAGGTCCACTTTGAAACTGTTCCCGGCACTGAGACGAGTCACTTCCACTTCTCCTGTAACGGATCCAGTGTGTGGGGTCCTGGGGGGGTGGGTTAATGAAGGGTGTGGGGGGTCCTGGGGGGGTGTGTGGGGTCCTGGGGGGTGTGTGGGGTCCTGGGGGGGGTGGGTTAAATGAAGGGTGTGTGGGGTCCTGGGGGGGTGGGTTAATGAAGGGTGTGGGGGGTCCTGGGGGGGTGTGTGGGGTCCTGGGGGGTGTGTGGGGTCCTGAGGGGGTGGGTTAATGAAGGGTGTGTGGGGTCCTGGGGGGTGGGTTAATGAAGGGTGTGTGGGGTCCTGGGGGGGTGTGGGGTCCTGGGGGGGGTGGGTTAATGAAGGATGTGTGGGGTCCTGGGGGGGTGGGTTAATGAAGGGTGTGGGGGGTCCTGGGGGGGTGTGTGGGGTCCTGGGGGGTGTGTGGGGTCCTGGGGGGGTGGGTTAATGAAGGGTGTGGGGGGTCCTGGGGGGGTGTGTGGGGTCCTGGGGGGTGTGTGGGGTCCTGGGGGGGTGGGTTAATGAAGGGTGTGTGGGGTCCTGGCGGGGTGGGTTAATGAAGGGTGTGTGGGGTCCTGGGGGGTGTGGGGTCCTGGGGGGGTGTGGGGTCCTGGGGGGGTGGGTTAATGAAGGGTGTGTGGGGTCCTGGGGGGGTGTGGGGTCCTGGGGGGGTGGGTTAATGAAGGGTGTGTGGGGTCCTGGGGGGGTGTGGGGTCCTGGGGGGGTGTGTGGGGTCCTGGGGGGTTTCCAGGCTGCTTTCTTTTGGATAACGATGTTTCCTGATGTATTATTCAGGGACAGTAAGCTCACCATGCTGCTCAGTGAGTCTCTCAGCAACATCAACTGTCGAACCACCATGATCGCCCACATCTCCGACTCCCCGCTGAACTACATGGAGACGCTGACCACCGTGCAGCTGGCCTCCCGCATCCACCGCATGAGGAAGAAGTCCAAGGTGCTTCATCTTTCTTTCTTTCAGTCAGTCAGTCAGATTACTCGATCGCAGCTATAAAGGTCTCAGAATGAGTTTGTCTTCCTGAGGTTAGTGTCAGTAAAACATGACCTGTGATGTAAACCTGTGTGATCTGTGGTCAGAGAGCGTATGGTCATCATTCAGCTTGATATGACAGATGATCAATATCACTGTTCCTATGGGGGCGATGCGTCTGCTTAGAGGCTGTGTTGTATTTAGTAGATTGAAGAAACCGTAGGGACACGAGGTTAAACATCTCAATGACCTTTTCATCCAGCAGGGAATGTGCAGAGATGGACTCCCCTTCAGGTTGCTTGGTATGTTAACTGCGTTATTCATGTTTGATCTGCAGAATGCCTCCAGCTCATCCGGGGGGGACAGTTCCTGCGAGGAAGGCCCTTCCCATCGTCCTCCTCATCCTCGACCCCTCCACCCCAAAATTGTGGCCCTGGACCCGGACACGCCCCTGCTGCTCTCCAGCGACCCCGACTACTCCTCCAGCAGCGAGCACTCCTGCGACACTGTGATTTACGTCGGGCCCGCGGGGGGGGCCATCTCGGACCGAGAGCTGAGCGACAACGAGGGACCCCCGTCCTTCATTCCCATCATCCCCTCCCTTAACAAAAAGCGAGTAAAAGATGCTTCCAGGCCTGACCGCGAACACCTGAAGTGCAACACGTTCGCAGAGCTGCAGGAGAAACTCGACTGCATTGACGCTCCGGCCACGCTCAGCACGGAGGCCAAAGCTGACCACGCAGTGCTCCGGATCCAAGCTGGGTCAAAGCCCGCAGAGGCCACGTCCCCACCCACTGAAGGGATTTCCTCCCCCGTGTTCTTAGAAAGCACAACAACCACACAATTCCCCTCAGCCGGCCACCTCCTGGAAACTTCCAAACGGACCAGTGCAGATGGGGAGAAACTTACAGACACCCCCTTTGCGTCATGTGTGGAAAAGCAAGGTGGGGCTTTTCCCTGGGACTCAGAGCCTGTGGTGCGGGAGAAGACCTACTTTAGAGGAGGGGTTCCCAAGCCCTCAGCCTCACCATCCTTACCCAGGACATCAAGGGAGGCATTTCAGCCTGCAGAGGTTGTAGGCACGACTCCCCCTGTTGGAATGAGTCAGAAAGCACTGAGGCAAGGCCAACCGCTGGGCTCCCCCAACATGGAGAGGGCCCACCATCTCCGGGCTGCTCTGTTAGGAAGATGCCTTGACAGGGATTTTCTGAGGACTACGGTGACTCTGCAGCAGCCTGTGGAGCTGAACGGGGAGGATGAGCTCGTGTTCACATTCGTGGAAGAGCTTCCTCTTGGTCTTGTCCCAGACAACGGCCGCCCCTCCAACCTCCTGAGCTTCAACAGGGACTGCTCTCTGCAGGCGTCACGGCCTGTCAGCATCATCAGCAGTATCAACGACGAGTATGATGCTTACACATGTCTACAGGGAGCGGTGGGACCTGGGGATGATGCTGACACTGTGATGTTATCCCAACATGACGGCAAAGAGTCAACTGCTGTCCCGTGGCCAAGTGAGGTAAGTGCTGGTTCAGCAGGAAGTGAAGACACTCGTTCAACAAGCAGGCTTTTCTTAAGGAACAGAAACATAAGCGCTCCAGAGTTTGTGCCCTCGCTTTCCTCTGCAAGTTTCTTTCATAGACCGACGTTGCAGCCAGGCTCCCTGAATGACAGCGGCGTCTGTTTCTCAGAGCTCGACAGTGACCCAGCCACTCCAGAGAAACCTTCTTTTACCAAGTGCCCTCCATCCCCCAACTCAACCAAAGCCTCTCTGAAGGTGCGAGCCAGTACCCTGAACTCTTCAGTGTCAGAGCAGATTCCCCATCATGCCGCCCATTCCAGTCTTCCCAGGAAAAACAAGCCTACCTCATCCACAGCAGTGGGCTGCAGCCGGCAGGAAGGTGGACTCTGTGAGTCTTTGTTTCAGGGAGGAAGTCAATTCCATCCCACAGAGTTTCTCTCTGAAGGCAAGCCTCCAAGAAGCGGCACAAGTACTGTTTCCTGTAAGAGGCCCGGAGGTAGTAGTGTATCTCGTCCACCAAAGGCACAAATATTCTCTTCTGCTCACAGGGTTGTGGATGGTTGTGAGAAGTCCAGCAGCAGGAGAGGAGAAACTCTCATCAGGCTGCCACGACTCACCCGAGGTGCAACCACTCTGGGAACCGTTTCCATCCCCCAGACATCCGAATCAAGGTGGGGTCATGAGGGCCCTTCACTGACGGGCACCCTGAGGTTTTTATCCCTAGGAAAAAAGTCTAACGGGCAGAAAAGCAACATGTTCTTCAAGTCAGGATCTGGGAACATCTCCCCTACTGTGCCACCGGTCAGACAGTCGAGTCAAGAACTACAGACCAGAAATGCACATTCTCCAAGTGCCTTAAAAACAACCAGTGAGTTTGAAAAGTCCTTGTTCCCTAAAACCTCAACCTCAGATGAAGAGTTAAACCCCAGGCTGCGAGCAGAGTCATTCAGCCACAGGAGTTTAAAAACTGAACACGGCCCAGCCAGGATGTCTTCCAGCCTGAAGACATGCGGGGCCAAAGCAGAGGCCAGCAGGTACTACGGGAGTCTGGTGTCTCTAGAGAGGGGTGACGGTCTAAACTTGGCTGGGTCCAGGCAGAACAGCAGTGCTACATTAGGAGGTGACAGCAGACCCAATAGACCCGGGGTTCCAGCCTCCACCTCTGCTTCCTCTCCCTCTCCTGTGTTCTCCACCACAAGCAAACTGGGGCAGGTCAAAGGCAACGGCAGCCCTCGAGCAGCAGTTTCTGGTGGTACCAAGGCTCAGACTCTATCTGCCAGCAGTTCCAAGAGCATGAGCTCCTCCCCTGAACCTCTTGCTAATGCAGCTGGACGCAACACCAGCCTGCCTCCTACCAGTAAGTCTCCCGCTCGGTCGGGGGAAGGAGCCAGGACGGGAAGAGGCACCATCATGGGTACAAAGCAGGCCCTCAGCAGAGCTCCTAACAGCCGTGTTACCGAGCTAGCCACTGGTAGCCAGAGGAAGCAGCTCAGCAGGGGGCCTGAAGTAACAGGAAGTGATGGCACTGACAGCGGGACCAGTAGTGTGAGCGGGTCGCCAAACAACTCACCGCTACCATCCCCTTACAGCAAGATCACGGCGCCTCGGAGGCCGCAGCGCCACAGCAGCGGACACGGCAGCGACAACAGCAGCATCCTGAGCGGGGAGCTGCCGCCCGCCATGGGCCGCACCGCCCTGTTCTACCATAGCGGGGGGAGCAGCGGCTACGAGAGCATGATCCGGGACAGCGAGACCACGGGCAGCACCTCCTCAACCCACGACTCCATGAGCGAGAGCGGGGTGTCCACGTCCAACAGAAGCAGAGTTTCTAAATCGCCAAAGAAGAGAGGAAACGGTGAGTGCAGAAGTCCTGTTAAAGAGGGACATTCAGTTTCTCTTCTGCACCAGGACAGAATGACGCACACAGCTGGGAGACCAGGGGACACTAAAGAGTGACGCACACAGCTGGGAGACCAGGGGACACTAAAGAGTGACGCACACAGCTGGGAGACCAGGGGACACTAAAGAATGACGCACACAGCTGGGAGACCAGGGGACACTAAAGAGTGACGCACACAGCTGGGAGACCAGGGGACACTAAAGAGTGACGCACACAGCTAGAAGACCAGGGGACACTAAAGAGTGACGCACACAGCTGGGAGACCAGGGGACACTAAAGAGTGACGCACATAGCTGGGAGACCAGGGGACACTAAAGAGTGACGCACACAGCTGGGAGACCAGGGGACACTAAAGAGTGACGCACACAGCTGGGAGACCAGGGGACATTCAAGAGTGATGCACATAGCTGGGAGACCAGGGGACACTTAAAAGTGACGCACACAGCTGGGAGACCAGGGGACACTAAAGAGTGACGCACACAGCTGGGAGACCAGGGGACACTTAAAAGTGACGCACACAGCTGGGAGACCAGGGGACACTATAGAGTGACGCACACAGCTGGGAGACCAGGGGACACTAAAGAGTGACGCACACAGCTGGGAGACCAGGGGACACTAAAGAGTGACGCACACAGCTGGGAGACCAGGGGACACTAAAGAGTGACGCACACAGCTGGGAGACCAGGGGACACTAAAGAGTGACGCACACAGCTGGGAGACCAGGGGACACTAAAGAGTGACGCACACAGCTGGAGACCAGGGGACATTAAAGAGTGACGCACACAGCTGGAGACCAGGGGACACTAAAGAGTGACGCACACAGCTGGGAGACCAGGGGACACTAAAGAGTGACGCACACAGCTGGGAGACCAGGGGACACTAAAGAGTGACGCACACTGTGCTGTTTCAGGTTTTTACCATTTTGCTATTTTGCCCTCCGTCAGGTTTCCTGCGGCGGCGCCTGATCCCGGCCCCCCTCCCGGACCCCTCCTCTCTGGGCAAGAGGCCGGGGGGGCAGTGGGCGGACCAGAAGGAGCCGTTTGAAATTAAACTCTACGAGATCGACGAGGTGCAGCGACACCAGAGGAGGAGGGAGGCGGAGGTGAGGCACCAAGAGCAATGACCTGTATAACAAAGATAGACGTTATGTCCTCCTGTGGTACATTGGAAGACGTGGGTCAGTTTCTGAGCTCAGAGCTGATTGGCTGTGAGTGACGGAGGGTACGCGCTTTGTTACCCCTCAGTGTGAGGGAAGGTCTGACTGATGTTAGAGGAAGCTGATGTGATGTCTTCTCTGTGTGCTTCCTCTCTCTGCAGCCGTTTCACCATGTGGAAAAGGTGAGTTATTCTTGAACATAAGCTCACTGCAACCCCCAATTAGGTCTGTTAAGCTCACTGCAACCCCCATGAGGTCTGTTAAGCTCACTGCAACCCCCAATGAGGTCTGTTAAGCTCACTGCAACCCCCAATGAGGTCTGTTAAGCTCACTGCAACCCCCCATGAGGTCTGTTAAGCTCACTGCAACCCCCAATGAGGTCTGTTAAGCTCACTGCAACCCCCAATGAGGTCTGTTAAGCTCACTGCAACCCCCATGAGGTCTGTTAAGCTCACTGCAACCCCCAATGAGGTCTGTTAAGCTCACTGCAACCCCCCATGAGGTCTGATAAGCTCACTGCAACCCCCAATGAGGTCTGTTAATGACGCTTTGAATCAATCAGCCGAGAGATGCAACCAAAATGAGCAAAGAGACAGCTCACTGACTTTAGTCCATGCACAAATCTTAGTTGAAATTCTCCTTAATAATTGCTTATTATGCAAATGTCGGGCTTATTACGCCCGTGATCATTTTGTCCGTGGCTAGCTCCTCATTAAATGCAGCCGTGATGCAGGTTAGCAGCTTCACGTCTGGGAGAGGAAGGTCAGCAGGCTGTGTTCAGGGGACGAAGTACTTATATCTGGTACTTAAGTAGAAGTACTCAGATCTGCCCACAATGGATTGACAGTAACCGTCCTTTGATCCAATGTCTGTTTAGAAAGCAAGAGAAGGCGATCTCCATTAGCTGTGTCAGATGTCAATCAATCATCAAGCTCTGGAAGTGTAATGTGTGATGGGTGTGGCCGGTGGAGGGATGCAGGCGAACACAATTTTGATCCAAAAACAATATCATGTGTGTTTGCTGGAGAGGAAATCCATTAAAACCAAACCCATTGAAGTCCTTTACTCGCATAGTTTGTGCCAACAGATCAACGTTCATTTAAACATTTCATTGAAATCTAAACTAACTCTGTGCATCGCAGTAACTTGCCCCACATTGCCCCACATTGCCCCACATTGCCCCACATTGCCCCACATTGCCCCACATTGCCCCACATTGCCCCACATTGCCCCACATTGCCCCACATTGCCCCACATTGCCCCACATTGCCCCACATTGTCCCACATTGCCCCACATTGCCCCACATTGCCCCACATTGCCCCACATTGTCCCACATTGCCCCACATTGCCCCACATTGCCCCACATTGCCCCACATTGCCCCACATTGCCCCACATTGCCCCACATTGCCCCACATTGTCCCACATTGCCCCACATTGCCCACATTGCCCCACATTGCCCCACATTGTCCCACATTGCCCCACATTGCCCCACATTGCCCCACATTGCCCCACATTGTCCCACATTGCCCCACATTGCCCCACATTGCCCCACATTGCCCCACATTGTCCCACATTGTCCCACATTGTCTCACATTGTCCCACATGGTGCTCGCTGGCTCCGGGTCACCCCGCTGCATTTGCTCCTCAGGGTCTGATCTACTTCACCGGCCGGCTGAGGATGCTGGAGAAGCGGCAGGAGCAGATCAGGGAGCTGAGCAGCAAACACCAGCGGCTGAAGGAGGAGCTGGAGGAGGCCAAGAGCCGGCTGAGCCTCCCCCCCGCCAAGTGGACCGGAGAGTGTGAGTACACAAGCTTTACTGCAGCAAAGAGTCCTAAAACCTGCCATGACTCAGCATTATGAGTCCTCAACCCTGCAAAGATCTGAGTACTTCTACTTTTAGACCCCATTTACACGGGAAGGTTTGCGTTTACGCACCGTATGCGTTTTCAAAAAAGTCTTCCGTTCACACGCATTCGGCTTATTTAACGTGTCCGTTCACACGAGGCCGCTGGAAACGCTGGAAACGCTGGAAACGCTGGAAACGCTGTAGTACATATGCCAGGCCTGTAAGTGGCGCTGCTTCCGCCACAAAATACACCAAAAGCAGCGAAGAAGAGCATGGTTGCCATGGTTGCCCTTCTGTTTATTCTCCGTGGTGGACGGCGTGTGCTCCTGCTGTAGATCTCTCCGGTAGTCCACCAGCAGATGAAAAACACCCACCTCTCCGCCTCTTCCAAGAGACGAGGGGACCGTGAGGCAGAGTTTCAGTTAGGTTTGTTTTCGCCGGTCAACATGTCCGTTAAAGTTTAAATCTTCCGGACAAAATAAGAAAAGTGCCGGTCAGAGGTCTTCTTTGTTATTTATTGAGCTTTAAAACAAATTGATAACGACTCTATATAATAATATAAAAATAATAAACGGAGCCTCTCTTTTCCTCCCCCTCTTCTGACAGCCCAGCAGCTGATCTCTGAGCAGGAGACGTGGGGAGAGGGAGACGTGGGGAGAGGGAGACGTGGGGAGAGGGAGACGTGGGGAGAGGTAGGCGTGGGGAGAGGGAGACGTGGGGAGAGGGAGACGTGGGGAGAGGTAGGCGTGGGGAGAGGGAGACGTGGGGAGAGGGAGACGTGGGGAGAGGGAGACGTGGGGCTATTTCATCGTTATCAGAAAATGATCGTATAGAGGCGTACAGACGGAGCCGTTTGACCCCCAGAGCGTTCCGGATGCAGATCTCTCCTTGGGACCCGTTATCATTTGCGGGGTCCGTTTCTATTGTTTTGTTACGGCCTCGTGTAAATGAAAGGGCTATACGCAAGAGAAACTATGCGGATACAACCCGTATCGTCCTCGTGTAAACGGGGTCTTACTCAAGTACAACATCTGAGTCCTTCTCCTCTGCGTATTACTCTGAACTGATTGTGTGTTTGGTGTTTTGTGATGGTGTCTTGCAGTCGAGGTGGACCAGGACCTGGATCGGGGGTCTCAGGAGTTTCTGGAGGCTCTGCTTCGGACCACAGAGGACCTGCAGGACTGCGTCAGCCTCTGCAAGTCCCGCGTCATGATGGAGACGTGCTTCGACACCGCCACGCAGGACGAGCAGCAGGGGGTGGGAGAGGAGGCGACACGGAGTAGAAAGGTGGTGTAGTACCACCGTTTGGCCACTACGGAGATCTGCTGCTTCAACGGCCGGCGCTCTTCCTGGGTTCAGTGAACGATTCACCTAGAAAGAAAGGCCATCATCTCTAATGGCAGTATCCAGCTCTTATGATGCAAACATGGCGCCCGCTGTGGGGCGGAGGGAGAGAGTCAGAGAGGAGGGATGAGGAGATGATGAAGAAAAACACTGACCTCCTTCAGATCAGCAGAACACATGGGACAGCCTCTTTCATCCACACGGAGGGAAACGTGTCGGGATGAAACCTCTCTGGACGTGCCTTTATATTTATCATCTAGTTTAACATGTTTTTATCATTTGTTTGTTTTTGTTTGTATGTTTATCATGTCTGGTTCTCATGGTGCTGACATTACAAACAAACTTCCTGTGAATTCTTTATGCAAAAAGACCGGGATTTAGCACACACACACACACACACACACACACACACACACACACACACACACACACACACACACACACACACCACACACACACACACACACACACACACACACACACACACACACACACACACACACGCACACACACACACACACACCCATACACACACACACACACACACACACACACACACACACACACACACACACACTCACACTCACACACACACACACACACACACACACATGCATTTAACACACTCAGAGTTTCTCTAGTTTCTCTCAGATGACGATAAAGAGAGAAATCACACTTCCTCTCAGAGTACATCTGAACATGTAAAGCCTATCCCTAACCCTAACCCTAACCCTAACCCTAACCTTAACCCCCTATGATTGTATAGGTAATCATTCCTCTAGGGCAGTGTTTCTCAAACTTTTTCATACCAAGGACCACTTAACCAATAAAAAAACACTCGCGGACCACCTAACTCCAAAAATATCCAAAATCACATCGTTTTTCTAGAACAGATTACAAATCGCCTGAAAATGGTACAAACAAGTGGCAACATGTGTGATGAAGGTGTTGCGCTTGGCTATATCATGCAATCCAAAGTTAAACTGAAGCTCGCTCCATTGCGTAGATATTCCCGCGAGAGTGCGGAAAACTTACATTTATTTATTTATTTAAAATGTGAAATGTTACCAATATACTCACGGACCACTAGGGGGCGCTCACGGACCACCAGTGGTCCGCGGACCACACTTTGAGAAGCACTGCTCTAGGTTACAGGAAGTCAGATCAATGATGTGAATATCTCCAACCATTGACCCCACAGGACAACAGCTGTCTCCAAAGTAGATCTGTGGCGGCTCAAATATAAACTCATGTGAAACAGAAAAGACCTTTAACCCAAACCTTTCTGTGAAACTTCAATATTTAAGAGACTTCAACAGAATATAAGTATATATCTATGTATTGAAGAAGTGTCTGTCACTTCCTGTCCCCTGGTCCGGAGGTCAATGGTTCTCTGAATGTGTTTGTGGTGACCCTGAAATAAGGTCTGTGGTGAACTCAAGCTGAAGAGATAGTGACCCTATGACCTGTCAGTGAATACTCCTGGTGTGAAGAGCTCTCTCTTTCTGAAGCGGCTGCATGCAGCGTGAGGCTCCTGTTCTTTAGACGTGTGATCTGCTGAGTCCTTGCTCCTGAGGTCTAGAGAGGAGGAGGAAGGATCCTTCATGGAGTCCTTGTTCCTGAGGTCTAGAGAGGAGGAGGAGGAAGGATCCTTCATGGAGTCCTTGTCCCTGAGGTCTAGAGAGGAGGAGGAGGAAGGATCCTTCATGGAGTCCTTGTTCCTGAGGTCTAGAGAGGAGGAGGAGGAAGGATCCTTCATGGAGTCCTTGTCCCTGAGGTCTAGAGAGGAGGAGGAGGAAGGATCCTTCATGGAGTCCTTGTTCCTGAGGTCTAGAGAGGAGGAGGAGGAAGGATCCTTCATGGAGATCCTTTCCTTTGAACGTGTGATCTGCTGAGTCCTTGCTCCTGAGGTCTAGAGAGGAGGAGGAGGAAGGATCCTTCATGGAGTCCTTTTCTATGTGCTTTGGTACTGTACAGTTTTCTAATGATTTGTAAAGAACACACTGGTTGTTGAGCAGAGAGGATGTTAATAAAGATCAGAGTCACAGCGTGGATATTATTTATTACACGATAACATGTGAATGAAGTGTACTCTGTTTCCTCCCTTGTTTCCTCCCTCCTTTCCTCCCTCCTTTCTCCTGTTTCCTCCTTCCTTTCTCCTGCACTCCTTTCTCCTGCCCTCTGGTTCCTCCCTCCTTTCTCCTGCTTTCTGGTTCCTCCCTCCTTTCTCCTCGTCCATCGTCTCCAGGGAGAAGCAGAGAGGAGATCAACAGAAACTGAAGGTTTGGATCCACAGAACTCTGACACACAACAAACCCCCTGACAAACACTCAGAACACTACAGTGTTTCTCAAAGTGTGGTCCGCGAGCGACCCCTAGTGGTCCGCGAGCGACCCCTAGTGGTCCGCGAGTATATTGGTAACATTTCACATTTGTATAAATAAAGTCAAAGTGTTTCTCAAATAGTTTCAAAATGACTCGTATAGGAGACAGAGAGACACGCAGTCAATGAGTGCATAAACAATGCTAAGTAAATGGAACAGTGTAAATCATTAACTTTGTGTTAAACTCGGGCCTGAAACCATAGTTTTAATGTATTTTATTCTGAAAATCCACAGCGGAGGTCGAACTACAGATGGAGCATCTTATTTCAGACTCCAGCTTACTGCTTCCTGCCTACTACCTGCCAGTTACCTGCCTAAGACCTGCCAAAGACCAGTATCTGGGAATGTTAAGCCCTCCCACTATTTTCCAAGAGGGCGTTGCCAGATTTTCAATTTCAAGATTTAACCAGGAGATGGCGCTTCCTTCACAAAAACAGGAAGACTACTTTTCATGGACTTTCAGTTTTGTTTAGAAGAGCATTTGAACACATCAATATTTTAGATCAAATAAAGTATATCTAATCTTGTAATTCAATAATATATAGTCTTTATATATTAAATAACTATGGCCAAACTAAGACTTAGCCGTAAGCGAACCGGGCCGTTGGCGTCCGGCCGTTCTGTGATTCTCCAGAACTCACAGCTGGCCTATGAATAAGTCCCGACTCTCCCGACGGCCAATCCGTGCCTCCCCTGACTGCACGTTGCTGACACACACCGCTGCAAACTCTCTGCACGGAGGAGCCGCGGAGGAAGAGACACACGTTCAATAAGCCGAAAAAACTATATCCGGTCACAGTGATCTGCTATTTTAAAGTAAATTCAACACATATCGACCCTAAATATAGCATATATTAAGAACGAGAAAGTGTTAACATCGTTTTTTGTAAACATATGACAAATGTGCGAGGGTGATGACATCAGAGCATCGTCCTATGGGCTTAGCCCCGGACAGGTACAACAGGTATTCACATAATTTCAGCCGAAGGGAGGTGGGCGGCGCTGCGGAGGAGCAGATTGCGAGTGAGGTGCCTGTCATCTTCCCTTTACAAGCTTCACAAATGTATTTATCGTGTGATTTTGGAAATAAAAGTTTCATATTCTGAAAGCCAAGACTTTGTTTATATATTATACGTGGGTAGCTATGACGTCAGAAGGAGTTACCGTAAATGAGAGCTGCCGTAAAAGTGTTTCTAGGATTTCTAAACTAACTATTACAGCTGTTATAAAGCATTAAATAAAAAGTCATGAAAGAGATAAGGAGGAGAAAAGGTTTAAGGAAGTAAGCAATGAATACAGAATGTCGAAATCCTCTGTTTCACGCGATGTCGAACATTGAAGACGAGGAGGGCGGTCCCCCAATCTACACAGCGGGAGAAAGAAGATCATAAAGCAGATCGGAGGAGACATCACGATCTTTCCTACATTAGTGCAATTCACCTATACTTAACCCCAAATAAAAGAACCCAATAAAAACAGTTGTTAAATAATAGTGAAGTCACGTTGTAATAATAACTCATCTCTCGGTTTGAGTGTTCTTTTTCTGACTATTTCTCATTGTGGGGAAAAATAACACCCAGGGGTCCTGATCGTTTCAATGAAGTTGAATACAGAATATTCATATTTGTCAGTGATTTCATGTCAATTCGGCGAACATAAACATAAATGATCGTGGTGAAGATGATGATTAAATTAGGATTAAAAATCGAGAGCCGGCTGCATTTCCTCTCGTTCGTTTTTTTTTCGACTAAACAACATTATTTTGTTAAATAACAACATGGTGATGTTTTGTAAATGATTACATGTCTTATTTAGCACAGACTATGATCCTATCCGTGACATATGGATCTTAACAAAGATCCGCTATACATTAGTACCAGACATACTGTACATCCAGCTTACTGTATCAAAGTTGATTTCACATGAGCTCCAGTGTGGAACCCCACTGCACCCCCTGGTGGATCAATGATCCATTGCAGCTGGCTTCACAATAATTACATTTATTTATCACGGGGGCGGTATCAAGTCAGACTGGGGGCCGGCTCTTTAGCACGAACCGATCACGGGCCGATCACGGACCGTGCACGAGCCAATCACGACCCTCGCGTTTCAAACTGTCTGAAATAAGATGCTCCATCTGTACATCCATTTTGCATTTCTCTCAGTAAAACGATCTGAGAGTCTGTTGGACATAAACTCCGTAATAAATGTAGTCTACGTTTCATAAGAGGTGTAAAACCTGAGAGCATTTTAAATCTCATCTGAAGGAAATGTAGAATCTGTAGTTTTATTTGTATTGATGATTTAATGTGTGAACGATATAGAGAAGTGAAGCTGTCATCATCAGGCTGCCATGTGTTAAACTGTTGGAGTGGAAACCTTTTGTTTCTGGATATTTGGGAGTCAGGTGGTCTGAGTGAGTGTTTTTATTGGTTAAGAGGTCCTTGGTATGAGAAACTCTGAGAAACACTGCTCTAACACAACAGAGCTAATCACAAAGAAAGGAAGTATAAACACTTTTCAAAATAAAACAGGAAACACTGACGGATCAAGACGGACATGGCGTTTCAATACACGTTCAGTTTTTAGAAAAAACACATTTCTGACAGTAAAGACACAATCAGTGAGACACATGGTAACCAATGAGAAGCCTCGATTTAAAACACCAACATTTAAACCCCAGGACAGGAAGTGGTCTCCTCCTACAGAGGACACAGAGACACTGAGGAACCTTCGATCCAGAAACCGACCCTAAACCCAGCGTAGAGAGGTTCAGTGAATGTGGTTCTGAAGGTGTGGAGGTGGGTCAGTGTGTCAGAGG